CATTCTATCTCCAGATCGCCATTAGTTAGCTCGCCAATAGTTTCTGGGGACGATCGCAGACTAATTCAGCTTCCTCTGCTAGATCCCAATCGCCGATCCAACCCCAAAGTCGTCATCCACAACGGCGGCGGCCCGCGCTACGACGAAAAGAGGCCGGCGGGCTGGGACAAGAACCGCTGGAAATAGACGAGTCGAGGCTCCAGTGGACCCCGGCGCCAATAGCGGGATTCTTCAATTTCCTGCGGCGGAAAAGGCGGACGGCTTGCTTCTCCGCTTCGACTTCGGCGCGTCTGTGCATGCAACAAAAGTGAGGCGGACGATCGACATGGCGCCATTACCATTCATTACCTGCATGGTGCAAGTCGACATTCTAGACCCAGTCGACACATTCGACTTGTTCGACTCTACTATTCGACTCCGTTCGATTCCGTTCGACTCCGTTTTTTCCCGGGTTACCATTCATTATTCATGCTTGCTGGCCTGCGGGCCTTGTGCCTGCCTGCTTTTTGCCTTGTTTGCACTGACGCACGCCCTTGGATTGGCTTAGTCCAGCACCATCTCTAATTCACCATGTATATTACTGTACTGTACGAGTGTGGATGACTGACTGATTTGCATTGTTTGTCATTTATTTGTTTTGTTTCCTTGCCTATTCATCCTGTGTCACATTTTTGGTCTTTTGTTTGTCTTGTTTGCGCTTGATTCGTCTTCACTTCTGCACTGGACTGGACTCACCGCCTAGTCAGGAGAGTACAGTCCAGCCAGTGGAGAGTACGGTGTACGCATTCTCATTTTCGGGTTCATTCATTCATTGCATTGCACTGCATTTCTGGTTGGGACAACACATTGGATTGGTTTGGGCTGGTTGGGACGGGTCGGGTTGGGTGGGATCAGATCATATCATCGTCATGGATACTTAATTCCCTTACTCATGGCCTGGCTGTGCCAGGGCATACTGACTGTACTAGGAACTGGGATGGCGCTATGGATTGACTTGTTGATTTGTTTGCATGTACAACCCCAGCATTGTTTTGTTTGTTGTCAGCCACACACTCATTTGACTTGATTTGATGTTTTTTCCTTTCTAGCTTGTGCAGTATTATTACTTACTGCAAGCTGGACAGGGACATACATGTACTTTTATTTCCCTTTCTCAGATTTTGGATACAATACACTACAAAGACAAGTGCAGCAATGCACTGACATACATCATCAGATACAGAAGATAGATACAGACATAGCAGCGCAAGCTCGAGAATAAAATAATACACTATAATATAATGTCATTGTCATTGTCATAGTCATTGTTGAATTGACTTGTTGACTTATTGACCTTATTGACTTCTTTCACTGCTTGACATTGCTTGTCAATTAATCAATCAGTCAATCAATCAGGCAGACAGACAGGAAGGAAAGAAGGAAGGTAGAATTTCCCAAACTCAAACTCGAAAAGAGAACAAATCTAGCTTACGGAGTAATTATTACTCCCTAACTAGGTGATAAGTTCTATCAATTCGCAGGACATTGATCAGGTCAGGTGCTAAGAAGAAGAAGAAGAAGAAATTCCCTTCCCTGGTATTTCACTCTTTTTTTTTCTTTGGTTGAAAACAAAAAAAAGATAAAAAAAAACACGAGATAAAAAAACTAGATATCGCGGAAAACTTAAGAGACAAACAGACAGACAGACAGACAGAGCTTGTATTCATCATTCATTATCCTTTGTTCATTATTCGTATTAGCATTGGTATACTGACTAGTATTAATGATAACATATCTGTTGGTTTATATTACTACGTATTTATTTATAAGGCAATATACATCCTTTTTTTAAAAAAAAAGATAAATAAATAAATAAATAAAAAGGACGGAATTGATATTCAATGTTAAATTATATAAATAGTACTTACTCCGTAAATAGATATCTATATAAAAAAAAGGAAGACACAGCTCGTTTGGTGCTTTATTACATGTACTCTATCTACAGCTGCTACTACACTGCTACTACAGCATGTAGTGTAGAACTGATTATGGAGTAGTGCACTTTCTTAAAAAAAAAAGAATGAATTAACCCTAATGAATGAAAGAAAAAACTACATATTATAAACCTACAAAACTTCCAAAATACATACATACATAAATAGCTATAGCCTATAGGTAGTCTATACAGCTATACAGCTATACAGCTACTAGATACCCTTCTGGATACACAAAATCCGTCAAGTTCAACTCCGCACTCGACCACGGCGTCTCCTCGTCCTTCCACTGCGACACCGCCGTCTGCGCACCCCCCAGCAGCCGCTGGATGTTCATGCGCACGCTGTACACCAGATTCCACGCCTCGACGCCATGCCGGACCTCGGGCGCCCCGTAGTCGATATCCGAGTCGCGCTGCGCTGAGCCCGCCGCGCGGTACATGCCGATGATGTTGGGGAAGGGGGCGATGCAGCGCAGCTTGGGCCGTCCCCGGTCGCCGGCGCACATGTGGCTCAGAGCGTTGTCGACCGGCTCGTCCAGGTAGTCCAGCGCCAGCGACGCGAGCATCTTGCGCGCTGCGTCGTACGTCACCGCGTACCCGTACAGACAGCAGCCCATGCCTGCGCGGTAGATGAACCGCGACGAATCCTCCGGCAGGTTGGGGTATTTTTCCTTCCATTCCTCTAGCGGACCGCCCCAGGTCGCGCGATGCCGGACCGCAGAGACGGTGGGATCGTTGGGAATGACATAAAACTCCTTCTCGTCTGGGTCTGGGGCCGACGCGCAGCCGCCGATCCAGAGGAGATCCCAGTCGGTGCCGTAGGGGGTGTTTTCGTTGGCATCTTCTGTTCGCTGGAGGGCGCGTGCGCCTCGCGCGAATTCCATCAGTTGCGACCTGATCGATACGTCCCAGTCGGCGTCGTCTTCCATGATCAGCGCGGTTGAGATGCGGTTTTCGACGATTCTACAGTATTATCCAGATTAGCAAGCACTCGACAAATAATAATCATTAAGCATACTTGACCAGCGCATTCATGTGGGCGCGCCAACACCCGGCGGCAGCAGGCTTCAGAATCGTCGTGTTGAATCCCTGATCTGTTAGCATGCACACACATATACATCATCTATCTGGTATACACACCTCCGGCAAGGCTTTCTCTAGAATAGTCTCCCCCCGCGCGCCGTCTAGCCACTCGACGCGAATTCCCGAGATGGACGCCGCCAGGGCGAGATAATCATGCCGGTCTGTGCGTTCCTTCAGGCCGATGGCGAAGGTCTTTTCAAACTGGCAGACGTCAGATGCCGTCAATCTGAGAGACATCAAACTGAGGGAATGCTCACTCCCAAAGTCTCATTCCTGATACTGGCCAGCGAGCGGTCGTCCACGACACGGCGACGAGAACTGCTGCCACGATGCCATCGAGTCAGCAGCTCGCTGGCGTGGTCGCGCTGGCTGAGGAACGCTCGCAGGAGAAAGAAGATGCAGAATGCAGCGATGAGGACCTTGGTGACTTTGGAATTTAGCAGCACGGCCGTCATGGTGGGCGGAGAGAAGCCAACGAGAGACAGCTTTCGAGAGACGGGCGATTCTGCACGCCGCATGGCGTATTTATTTATTTATTTTAATTGATTTCATCTCTTCTGATGTCAGCTGCCGACGATTGAGTCGCTGGAAGCGGCGTGACGGAAAGGGGAGATGCAACATGTTGAGGATGCATGTCCTTCCGAAAACGGCTAAGAATCGCTTGCCACATATCGACGCAAATAGGTCTAGCAACCATTTTCTTGATTGGGATTTTTCAAAATAAGACAATCGATCAATCAGTCAATAATTTAAAAAAAAAGAATAAATCAATAAATAACAAATAATAATATTCATGATTATTCTCAGTGCTCTTGCTTAGTCAGCTGTACCGCCAAGAACAGCATCACGAATATCGACTCCAATTACTATTACTTCTTGTCATATATACAGGTCAATACCAACAGTAATTATCCAGTGGTGTATACCCAGACTGACCTATACGAGTATACATTCAAGTATGTGCGAGAACACAGACCCACCACGGGATTCGCAATTACTCCGTATCTTGGTGCTGAGTTATTTCCCCACAGTCCACGCATTAATAATTTGATGATATTAATAATACAAGAGTAAATGCGGCATGCCGTGTTGACTAATTACTGAAACTATGTACATACATACATACTGGATATATATCTACTGAGGACGGATGTAGAGTCCTTGCAGCTAGACGTTGCGCTTCAATCTTGGGAGATAGATATCTAGGTGAATCCTTCGATACCCTAGCTTTTTTTTTACTCACTTTGGAATATTTCTCTCTTTTTATTTATTTACGTATTGGACCTGAATACTGACTATCTTCAAGATATATACATACATACATACTCCATCTACTCAATTATCAATATCATCTGACGACCTACCAAAAAAGGCGACATAGAGCATACACTACACACATACATAGAAAAAAACCAAAAGAATCACTCATTCAAATTCCGCTGACCATGTCCGAGTCTGCCTACGCCATCCCCCCCAACTCCACCATCGTCGTCACCGGCGCCAACGGCTACATCGCCTCGCACATCGTCGACGTCCTACTACAGCTAGGCTTCCATGTTCGCGGGACCGTGCGGTCCGCAAAACCCTGGCTAGACCGGCTGTTTGAGGAGCGACACCGACATGGTAAAGGCCGGTTCGAGAGCGTTATCGTCCCGCGAATGGATGTCGAGGGGGCGTTGGATGAGGTGGTCAAGGGTGCGGCGGGGTTGATTCATGTTGTACGTATACACAAACAACATTTTATATGTATATCTCACTTCGTGAGATGGTTTTTTTCTGACTGAGTAGGCCTCCGACGTCAGCATGAATCCCGACCCCAACACCGTCATCCCCGCCGCCGTCAATCTGACTGTCAACGCGCTCAAAGCGGCGTCTAAGCAGCCCTCGATCAAGAGGGTTGTGCTGACCTCGTCGTCGTCGGCTGTTCTCATCCCGAAGCCGAATCAGGAGGTCGTCGTTGACGAGAGTGAGTAGAACCAACCAACCAAACACCTTTTTTTGATCAATTTTTCCAGCTGACACCATGTGTGACTGTCCAGAAACATGGAACGACTCCGCAGTATCCGCAGCCTGGGACGAAAGCACCCCAGCCGACGCCAGACGGTACATCGTGTACGCCGCGTCCAAAGTCGAAGCGGAGCGCGCAGCGTGGAAATGGGTGGAAACGCACAAGCCGGGGTTTGTGTTGAATGCTGTGATTCCGAATTTCAACGTATGTCATATCTTATCCAAACCCTAGCAGACTGCAGCCTGCAGGATGAAAACTGATTTGTATGCATACAGTCCGGACCGATCCTCCATCCTGAAATCGGTGGTTCGACGATGGGCTGGGCGAGGAATCTGCTCAAGGGAGACGCGTCTGTTATTGAGCTTCTTCCTCCGCGTGAGTCTCCCCTCAATATACATTAATATACGAACTCGTAATAACGAACTGCGACTGCAGAATACTACGTCGACGTCCGCGACAACGCACGCCTACACGTCGCCAGCCTCCTAGACAAAAACATCCAGTCGGAGCGCATCTTCGCTTTCGCGCACGAGTTCAACTGGACGGATATCATCCAGCTGTTCCGCAAGCTGCGGCCGCACAACACGCGGATCCCGGAGCCGCCGGCCAACGAAGGGCGTGATCGGTCGGTGGTCAAGCCGCGCAAGAGGGCTGAGCAGATTCTGCGGTCGTTCTTTGGGCAGGAGGCGTGGACGGGGTTGGAAGAGAGTTTTGAGGCGGGTATTGAGGGGTGGGAGTAGACATAGCAATGAGATTGATTGATAGATATAGATATAGATGTAGATGTAGTGTAGAGGGAGATGTAGATAGATAGATAGAAGACTGTTCGCAAGAAGAAAGAAAGTAAGAAAGGGAGTCCCATTAAGCAGTCTAGTAGTACCTACATGTATGTACTCCGTACAGTTACTACAGTATTTACTTGCATGGCGAAAAAGAAAGACAAAAAAACGACAAAAAAAAAAGCAAGAAAAGCAAAGAAAGAAAGAAAGGGAGAAAAGCCAAGCACTCATTCTGCAAGAAAAAGGCAAAAGAAATAGAAAAGAATTCCACCATTCCAAATCCATTCCTTCCATCCCTCGACTGCTCCCTGCTCCCTGCCGTGTCCCGGCCCGTCACCGTGCAGGTAGGTGGCTTTTTGTTCCCTTCGAAGGAGTGAGAAAATAATTATTTAATCAATAATAATTATCAATGCATGGTTCCTAGGTATGTACGGTACCTACCTAGTTACTAGGACGACAACATGGATATGGGATATGCCGTATACATACAGACAGACAGTACTTATTTACTTTCGTGGTGAATTCACCCTTCAAGGACTAATTACCATCTACAATCTACTACGATTTACCAGTTCCGGCTGAGTGACTGACTGCCTTCCTGCAGGAATGTATGTATGTACATACATACGGCGTATGTGCATCCAGTACGAAATGAGTGATCGACCAGAGTGCTTTCTTTTTTAATGTCCTCCTTACGAGCTTCTGCTCCTGCATACTACTGTACATATGGCAATTTCTAGAAGTCTCTCTCTCTCTCTCTCTCTGCCAATGTATGCATGCAGAATGCAGTGCGAAAGAAAACAGTACAATCTACAGAACAGAACAGAACAGAACATGCCTTTTTCTAAGCTTGTTTAAGTTCTGACTAGTCGACTGGTCGAGACCCTCCCCTGCATATTTTATTTCTGTCTGCCTGCTTTCTGCTGTCTGCTGTTCAATTGCAAATGGATGGATGGAGCTGATCTCTTTCTTTCTTTCTTTCTTTCTTTGTTTCGCTCTTGGCCAGTTTTCCTTCAATTGTAGTAATGAAGTAACCAGCCCTACTACGCATACACAGGAATTTTTTAAAAAAGGAGAGAGAGGGAGAGGAAGAGCCAAATTACCACGGGGCTCATGAACCCAGAATTAATGAATAAGTGATGAAAACAAAAAAAAAATGCCCCAGAAAGAAAAAAAAAAGAGGAAAGGACAAACGCAAGGAAAGAAAGGAGCCAATGAGCCAATGCCAATGATGCCAGCAAGATGGATACACTCTCACAAGTAAGTGCAGGTGCAACTAACAAAGGGAAAAAAAACTGACGGAAAAAAAGTATAAAGACCTGAACTGAGCTGAACTGAACTCGAAAATGAAAAATAAATGCATTTTTTTTCTCTTTCGCTCGAAAACGACTCGACTCGCGCTTGCAAAATGCCAGAATCTAGAACACACAGCTCACACACTCACACACAAACAAAACATATGATATGATGCAAAACAAAAAAGAAAGGGGGTATGTAATAATAATAATCTAGGATAATAATGGGGCAAAAAAATTGTAAAAAGTAAAGAAAAAAAACAATCCGCTTTCTGATCTGAAACAGGATCAAATCAAATCAAGTTTCCCGTCCTCCAATGATAAGATAGCTATGTCAGGTGATTGATGATGATTGATGATTGATGATGATGATGAGAAGAGAAAAAAAAACACTATGGCACAGAGGATGTGTTTTAAGTGATGACACACGCCCGGGTATTAAATATCATCTTTTTTTTTCTCCTTTTTCTTTTTTTTGTGTGTTGGCAAATCAAAAGCAACGGTGGGTGAGATCATCATCCAAAATAAACAACAGGGGAAAAAAGAGATTCTTCGGGGAAATTCAACAAGATTAATAAGAAAAAAAAGATATTAAGTTTCCCCTAAAGGTCTCCAAATGACCACACCCCCCAACCGCCGGATCCGAGTTTGACGCGGGTTTCTTCAGATCAGTAGCCCGAGCTGAAACTCATCTGACTCGGCTGGGAGTATTGCTGATGTTGCCCATATACAGGTTCCGCATCGTACATCTGCGTGTCCGAATATGAACCATTCGGGGGCGGTGTAGGAGAGGCCGGACAGGCAGCAGCGCCTCCCTTGTTGTTATTATTGTTGTTGCTAAATCCCTCATTCTCCGGCGTGATTGGCGGCGTGAGATACCCATTCGGGTATTGAGACTTCTGCGGTGTGGCCAAGCCAACCTCGCCTGCATACGGTTTGTTGTTGGACTCGGCCGGTGTCTCGCTGGGCGGGGTTGGGGGTGTGTACGAGCTGGCAATGGACGCCTGCCGCGCCAGGAACTGTTCCAGCAGCTTGGATATCCGCGAGTAGTGGGCCGACGAGTATTTCCGGTACAGGACCTGCGACGGGTGGTGCAGCTGCTGCGACAATCCCACCAACGTTGCCGAATCGTAGTCCGACGCCCATTCCGTGTGGCGAGGCTGAGGCCGGTTCAGGATGCAGCGAGAGAGCGCCAGGGCCGCTTTGGCAAGGTCCGCCGAGGGCTTGGACACGAACTCCCGGTGGAAGAGAGCGATCTCGAGGATGTACATGGCGAGATGCTCCACTTCCGGGTCGTAGGGGACATCCAGCAGCGCGATGTTCAGGAAGCTGTCAACCGTGGGGTGCCCGATGGTCCAACCGAGCGTCTGCAGCACGTGCCACTCCATCTGGAGAAACATGTCATCGTCATACAGCGAGCAGCACATCGACTTCAGCTCCCGGATCGTGGGCACGTGCTCCTTCTTGTCACCGTACTTGGCCGCAATGAGAAGGGCCGCACAGCCAACCAATTGATAATGCCGCTTGTACACCACCCGCTTCGAGCAGTACCTGTCCAGGAGATTGATGGTCAGGAACAACGTGGAGGGAAGAAGCTGGAACGCGGCATGGGCTTCGATCAGGAAGTCGAGGAGATACGGACGCATGAACCATTGGATCTCCGTCTGGATATCGATCGACTCGACATCGGGCAGGGTGGCAGCCTAGAAAGAAAAAAAAGCCCGACTTCAGTCAGACAAAGTTCCACCAGACAGGGAAACAAGCTACAACGCACATCCATCTCTAGCATATGGGCCAGCACATCATCCAGGTACTCATCCTTGGCGACGGTCGAGAGCTGGTCGGCAATAGCATACTGACGCTCCCGAGCAATGAGCTTGGCATGTTCCTTGGGGTCGACACGACGGGTTACATCATCTTCGACGAAGAAGGTATCGCAAGGCTGATGACTGGATGTGGGACGCTGGTTCAATGCCATGATGGATCGGTGAAGGACGACTCTTCGGATGGATGATTCTCCAACTGACCGGCAGAGAGGATTTCGAACAAGGTAGGCGTTGCTGCGAAAGGAGTGGACCTGATCACAAACCTGTGTAGCTATCAGGAGAACGACGGAAACAAGAGAGCGACAGTCGTCGGATTATCAAGGTGTAAAATAATGATTGTAATTAGTTGGAAGTAAAAAGTTATTAAAAAAGGAGTGTGGCAGCGTAGACAGTAATCTAAACGCTGGGGGAGGGGGAAAAAAAAGGTAAGAGACGGCCAAGGAACCTTGGTTTTAAAGTCTTCCCCGGGCGGAGCTGAAAGACGAATTAGTCTCATTAACTTCGAGGGAATTCTTCGCGGTGAAGATATACGAGCTGACAAAGGGGATCGAAGGAGAGAAAGAAAAGTGACCGAAGGGTGAAGGGCAGCAGGAACTTACCCAGGATGAAGGCCGTCAAAGAGGGTAGGTCCGTCACCCTTACTGTGAAGACAGCTCTGGCATCTAGGCTGGTGATGGACACAGGAATGATTTCCTACTTGGCAGGTGCCTGTCGATGAAGAGATGAAGCACGAGTCAACGCCTCCACTCTCTGGGGAATCGACAGTTCGAGGTTGGCTGCGAGTCCTGCCTCGTGCCGCGGAATGTGGAGCGGATGCGCAGTAGGAGCCAGGCACGGAACCCTATGTAAGGGCAGGAGCTGTCAGTGGAACAGCCACCCTTGACAGCGAGGCGAAGAATGGAGGAGCACGTACAACTTCTCGTCACAGATCCGCGTCGTCTGTCAGGAACGACACGGGATTCTGTAGTGAGTCGTTGCGGGAGAACCGTTCACGGGTGGAAAAATCCGCCGACAGGACAATCGGGCGGGTTTGTCACACACGAACCGTTTTCTGCAGAGAGAACCAACTGTTAGCCTTCATGATCTTGTTCTCTCGATTGATAGGACCCGGTAGCAGCCTGACGAGAATGTAGTCTGGACGGTGCGGCCCGTTGACCTCAGGGGGATATGTGTGGGGAGAGAAGAATGTCATTCCGTAGCGGTGGACCAACACACGAGTCCTGTCGGGCCATCCTTCATGCCATCCTTTTTTTTAAAATAGACGGAACGGATTCTGGGGTTTCTAGGCGGGTGCAATCTGTGGTATTTGCCAGCTGCTCCTGCAATCGTCTTTTTTGCAAGATATCAACCCTGACCGGGGGGGATCACGATGGAGCCACTCCAGGCCTACACTACCCCTTGAATAGGAGAAGCACGAGAAGGGATGCTAGTCAAGTATTTCTCTTAAAAAGCATTCGCCCCGTTGAAGGCCAGGATATCACATCGAAGACCCCTTTATCCTTTCTCTTGCACCCGATTGTCCTCCAGACCACGAACGCCACGAGACCCAGAAACAAAATTTTCGAGCCCGTCAGAGAAACCCTTCCTGTGGTGCTTCCTCCGATCCAATTCCACACGACGAAAGAAGAGTGTACCAGCCATTTCAGGAACTCAATTGACCAGAGGTTACGGGGCAGGAAGTGTACGGAGGGACTCGAATGGAAACTTGGTCTCGTCTCACCTCTCACAATGACCAAAGCTCCACCGATCATACACCGTTCGAAGTGACACGGGCAATGGACCGGGGGAGATAGTTTGACTGCCGGCAGACCCGGGCCCAGGGATCTCAACCTTCTCCGTTGCAAAGAGGCTGGGATATGGGGGAAAGTGGCCGTAGACGTCTCGGGGTCGATCGAGAACCTCACCGTCCGATCAGGGGGGCCAGGGGGGACGAGGCGACGGTTCGAATTCGACGGGGCAAGTTTGCAGACGTCGAGGACGGGCAGGGAGAAAGGGACGTCGAAGCACGAAGCTGACGGACACAGCTCGACTGGAGAGCTGGTGCCGTGAGCGGGAGATGGCGAGTCGACGGGGAGCTACAGTCGACGGATCTCGACCACTGACGGAACCAGGCTCGGGTCTCTCCACGCAAAGGAAATGAAACGGGAAAGGAAGAAGAGAAGAGGAGAGGAAGAGGGCGGAGATGAGGAGGAGAGGGAGAAGAGAAAAGGAGGTGAGGAAGAGTTTTCTCTCTCCAGGCGGGTGTGGGAGCGAGAAGGAGAGAAGAAGCACGGCCGATTGAGGAGAGCGAGGTTGAAGTCTCGCGGTGCAGCTCGTATGGTAAGCCGTGACGGTACGGAGTACGGGGGGAGCAGCGGTACGCCCGCGGTATTGGTATTGGTATTGGTACCGGGCGCGGTACCGTTTGGTTCGGTTTGGTCTCGTCTCGTTCTGTTTTTTCGCGGCGGTCGCGTCCTGCCAAACGTCTTACTTACGCTACAGTCTACGATCGATTGGCTACGGATTCATCATTCTGGCAGAGCGTTCGTTCTGTCGGATGGCTACGACGGAGACTCCGCGCGGGAAGACGCGTGCAGCGTCGAGTCTCCAGGATCATGGCCAAACAGCCTGGCTGCCATGGTTCTGAAGGCTGGCAGTAATAATAGTAATTATCTGTCTGTCGGTCAAAGAAGTGTCCAGTGTATGGCTGCTCTGACTGGACAGCTCCTGTAACCCAGTCTGTAAGGATTCACTCCAGTAATACAGTATAAGTATACTGGCAGCCTGAACGCGGCCTGAGCACGGCATGGCTGTAGTTTCAGCGTGCTTTTTCACCGTTTCAACAACAGCGCTGTTCCCTGCCGGGGACGCGCGCGTGGAGCAGCTCGGCATGGCTAGCACAGGCGAGCTGCTTCACTAAGCTGTTCCACCGGATCCATGGGCCATGGTACCGTACCTGTCTGTGGCTAGCCTGCGCTCGCGTTGCTTTTGCGCCTTCAGCCTGCTCCCATACGTCACTGGGCCGTGGATACCCAGGCGCCGTCGACCTCCGTCCCCTTTCAGCCCACTCCCAGCGTCGCCTTTCGACCGTCCAGGATTCCTGTGGAGAGACCCGACAGCCAGTCGTCTGCCCTCCCGCCCAGCGGCATGCGGCTGCTTGCCCCAGAACGGAAATATTAGACTTGGATTATTCCCAACCTGCGTGCGCCAGAGCCTGGACGAGCTCCCGGATAGGATGCTGCTGCGGCGTCCGGAGACCTGCAACTGCGCGCTGCGAAGTCTTGCAGAAGCCTCGCAGCTCGAACGCGCTCTGGCGCGCTGCACCCGCTCCCACACGCTTTCTCCTCACCTCATTAATAATAATCAGAATCATAATAATACCGAGACGAGAAAGAGAGTCTGCTACAGTACTCCGTACGGACTACGGAGCACGAACCCGGAGCCGCCGGCGTTAAGAGCAGCCCGGAACCTTGGAACGAGGCTGATCGGAACCCCATCTCCCCGCCTAACTGTCGAAGCCTCTAGCAAGAATAACGCCCTCGCGCCCCAGGCTCTGACCCGCGTTATGTCCGCGACGGGCCTTGACACCTGGATCCATGCCGTGCGCGTTTCGTGTTTTCCTCGGTTCTTACTGCAGTACAAATGTGAACAATGTCGTGTGGACGGTAAACTTTCCGACTCATCATCAAAATTTGTTTGCGTACTCAATTTCCAACTGGTACAGTATGGCTCATGCTTGCTGCCGGAAATGTGCAAAATTGGCAGTCAAATGGAACATTCCTTTCTATCCTACCACAGGTCTTTGAACCAGCAGGTTGGCCGGATATGATAAGACTTGATTGATAAGACTGCTCGAGACTTTCACTGGGCCGAGAGAAACTCCTTGTTAAGGTCAAGAGGCTGCGTTTGCACCGTCTACCTCGTGCCATTCAATCTGTTCCATTGCTGCAAGTATTAACTGACTACTCACAACGGTCCAGTTGACCAGTTCCATATGGAGTACTCGTAGAGTATTCACTCATTCGACTACAGGAGATGGATTCTAGAAATCACTATGCCAAGAAACACCATGAAGTTGGAAGCTCTTGAGATTCTCTCTGGCCTGATTGTGATCTGTCCTTACCAGTCATCCGTGCTTGCGTGATACTCTAGAGTTCTCTGTAGTTTGCAGTCGCTGTACGGAGTAATCCTTTCGCTGACGTAAAGTAAGGGGCATGGACGATCCAACTACTGTACTGTACAGCAGCTCCCCCCGTCCGAGAAGGGCTGATATCTCACGATTGCGTGCATGCCCCTTCAGGAAGGAGAAAAGAAAGAGACATGATTCATCGATGGCAATGTATCCCTCAGCTGACGATAGCATCAAGCAATCTTTGAGGGAGGTAATACTGTAGCTCTGCGATGGCATGCCTGGGGAAGGCGAGGTAGGATTCGGTTGCTGAGCTGGCTAGCGGCGTCGTCCCTGGCCGTCCATCGCCAATGAGAGCCGAGTCAACGAGCCCTTCCCGCCTGTTCCTTGCAAGGGGGCGGTCCTCCCTTCGAATCGACCCAGGCCTGCCTCCAGAAATGCTGGTTGCGATGAATAATAAATAATTAGAAATATCCCAGTCTGGTCAGCAATAACGTAATTCTCTCCTGATTGCTATTAGAGTTGGTTAGATTGGACCGAATTCTGGCAAGGCTGCCTGCCGCGGAACCTTAGCGTCATCACCGACCCCAGAATTAAATAATAAGGGCGACAGGCTCTCTAAGCTGCCAACGGGTAAAGTGTAAACCATCCATAGACTCAGAATGGTCGATGATGATCCCGGGACTGGCCGAGCCGCGATCTGATTATTGGTAAGTTGACTGATTCCCCTATTCGGGCGGTCTCATCATCCATGGGTCAGCCAGATATGCCCTTTATCTTCCACAGTCGCAGTCAAAGCACATCAGCATCATCCATGGCACGCTATTTGGAAAGATCCATGTCGTTCCCTGCGAGGAACAGGTCGTGGCGAGATTGTAGAGCACGCTTTTGGATCAGTCGAGTTCAACTTCTCCCTGGAAGAGTGAACTACAGGCTTGTCCCGATCGGGCAGGATCCCGGCCTGCTCACGTGCTCCCCGCTCACCATTGATGATCGTCGTGGACGACCAATTACATCAGTTGATGTATTTACCGAAAGGCAGGCAGCAGGCAAGCTTGTGTTGCAGAATATACTGACCTAGTCAATGGATATGTTAAATGAAAAGGTATCTTTATTGACTCGTTGAATACGCAGCATCGAAACGTTACGCGCGTGACTCCGAGTAGTCTGTGACTGTCCCTTGCGCAGTCACTGTAGTGACTGCAAAATACTATGTATCTACTTCTTCTTCAGCGGGTCTCTCCAAGTAAACTCATAATCTATTCAATATCTGGGCATTGCCTTATTGCAGAAACCAAGCAAGGAACGAGTCTTTCTCACGTGCCCCCGCGTTGTCTTAAACAGGCGGAGTGAAACTGCAGAAGAGAGCAGCCAGACCAGTATGAAGATGAACCCTTTACCCCCCCGGGGAACCGGGATGCTGCATGCATGTACTACATACATAGGCAAGGGCACACAGTCACACCCAATCGATTATCAACAAATGGCATCTAGCGATTACATATGCAGTAGCAATTTTTATTTTTAAGTTTATCTGTGTCACTATATCATATTCCTTTTTTTAACCCCTTCCCCTTTTTTTATATCTGAGTTTACATGTTCGACAATACACAGTGAATAATAATAAGTTCAGTGGTGAATGTACATAGCTAGGTAGCTGGAGAACCGGATTTTCCTCGGAGGTCGACCGTTGACCTTTTGCAGTAATTGTTACTGTATTTTGTGCGTATATACATACGTAACAGATCCATCGCTCAATCTGTCGATAGATAGATAATACGCTGTAGACGTGAATGGCCAGTACCTAAAAACAGAAGGAAATATTTCGGCGTCTCGGATTTAATTTTTACTCTCTCTCTTCTTCCGGTGAACATTAGTAGTTCGTTTCTCAGGCGACCCGTTCGTTATTAATAATAATAATTACTGTATTTTCACTTTGATCTCGTCCAGACAGAGTAGTAAGTAATACTAATTATTCGCTTCGCTATGTGGAGTTCTTCTCTCCTCTTTTTTTTTGTTTTGTTCTTTTGAATCAAACCCACTTAATTAGCTTCTGTCACGACTCACAGAAAACAAAACAAAGACTAAAATTTAAAGGAAAAAAAAGATCCATAAGCGGAGTCACCTTCACCTTTAGGTTAGTAAAGCAAAGATAAGCAAAGAAAAAAAAGAAACTCGGGATGCCGTTCACATCCGAGTACCATACGTATGTACGTACCTGAAAGTGAAGTCAGACAGACCCAAGGAACGAGACGCAGTCCCCCCAAAAAAAAAGAGACTGGAAGGAAATCTCCACCGCACACTGGACAATTGCGGAAAAGGAAAATATGGATTTGACAGCAAGGGTCGGCCCGTGAAGGATAATCTAGAAGTTCCGATGGAAAAAAAAAAGAAAAATTTTACTTTTTTCTTTCTTTTGATTTCTCTTGCCCCGCTATTTAGGTGTGAGTGAGGGGCAGGTTCCATGGTGAGAGAGAGGGGCACAAAACAAAGAACAGTACGAAGTAGTATTACTTACTTAGACTACTGCTGTTTACGGAGTATAGATAGATAGATCCACTACTAACTCTACCGAGTATTCCGTACGGAGTACATACGTCACTTGGGAAAAAAAATTCATTATTGACTAGGTACGGAATTAGGTAGGTAGGTACTGTACTCTGCAAGCCGTTGAGGCTGGGGCAATGCAAGGGGATTTCCGATTTTCGATCGGAAGATAGATAGAATTATCTGCTATTAATTAGATCTGGCATTTTTTCTTAAATTTAGCACGGAGTATTTCGATGATTCAATGCCGAATCCAGGAGGATATATCAGTTGACAGGTCACGTCACTTGCGGCTCTTCCCTCTCATGGTCAGTGGATTTGGATTATTTAATACCGCCTGTTTTGGGCTGCAGCCGTTGCGGACTTGCCTTCCGACGGCATACGCCAGTAGCAATACTTGCATGATCCATCTCCACAGGAATCAGTGGGGAGAAACACGCAGTGTAAAATTTCTTTCCCTTTCCGTTCTTAGTTTTTACTCTCCGCTTTTTTTTTTTCTTGCGTAAGAAGAAGTCTTTCATTTTTTTGCTCGTTTCTCTGGTTTCGGAGTAAGCAAGATCGGACTGGGTCATTAAGTTAAAGGCGCATGAATAATGCCGACAGCCACAGGAAAGTATTTACATTATTTACCCCGTGTCTGCCGGCACGACGTACGTATGCATGTACCGTTGATTGATTGGCTCTACGAATCGATCTCGAGATCTCAATCAACATGCGGACAGCCACCGCGTTGTCACTTGTCAGCCGCTGACATGCGCACCGGCGTCAATTATTGAAGTCAATTCTGCCTGGCCTAACTCCGGTACTAACCCTGCAGTATTAGCAGCACGACCATCGAGCAGAAGCAGCGGTTCTGAAAACGGCAATTGGGCGAACGAGCAGGCCCGCCAAGATGGCCGGTGCAGACCCAGGTCTGTCTGCTAGACAGGGAACTGCCAGATCGCGTCCAGGTAGTTTGCTCCACCTGAAATAAAAAAGCGATCATGCTAGCAATTACGGTGTGCGAATTACGTGGGTTTTCATGTCTTCTTTCTGTGGTGACTGGGGCGTTGGTCTTTTTTATCTGATCGACTGGTGAATGCCCTGTTCTCCTGGATGTCACATGCTGTTCGTAATGACAATACCGCCCGGCCGCCCTGTACAGGGCCATACCACGCCGTACGTTTCACAGGCCGTTCGGAAACGGTAAGCTGGTTACACGGATCAATACGGGACCGTCCCACCAGGCCGGACGACGCGGGGATCCATTGGGCAATCGTCACCGAGCATAAAAACGACTAGAAGGATGAAAGAAAACCGACGAAAACACGCAGCACCACGATCTGAAAGAATCTCATGAACTGGAGTTCGACAGCCCTCCACTCCCTCAAGAATGGATTTGAACGGACACTGGCAGAACAGACCTGCAAACAGCAGAAGACAAGCGGATGAGAAACGCTGGCTCGCACTCGGTCCGTTTTCAGTCCCACGGTCTGGATTGACGTCTACTCGACAGCTGAGCTCGGCGAACGTGGAAACTTTAATTTAGTGAATTAGACGCGACAATAGCAAGCCATCACCGCATTCGTGCCGTTGGATCCCGCCGTGGCGTGTCACTTCCATGTGCTCTCCACGCGATGATTCGATCGTCTCGTCGGGAACGACATCGCGCTTATTGCGGATCTGTGGCGCGTCATCGAGCCCACGGACACGAACCTTCGGTCCTGGTCCCAGGCACCTAGGTAGGCAGCAGGTACGGTAACTCTACCGTGCTTTCTCCTCCAATGATTCCGTCTTTGATCCAAGGCCTTGCTCGCGTGCGTTGCAACACGATCTTGAAAATCCCTGCAATGTCGGCACGTATTCCAACTGACAAACCGCGACCATGTGCGAACTCTCCAGCTGCACTTTGGCTGCAGGGTTAGGAGTCAATTGACACAATCAACGAACGCTATTCCTGAGATTAAAAACAATCTTGGAGTCTGTGGCAGAGAATGTGGCAAAATGCGGAATTGTTCCTACCGACGAGAGCTGAACCTCAAACAATCCATCCTCAATGAGGGGAAGCTCCTCCTTCCCAACATCGGGACGAGCAAGTGCGCTGGAAGATGTGTATACAGTACGGAGTATACTCCGTATACTTGCTTGCCTAAATCCGACCCTGGCAGTTAAGTTTCACCACCAACACAATCCCTGTCGTGGCTTGAGGGAGCGGCAACTCCGTTTGGACAGCCTTACAAACGATGGGGGAAAAAAAAAGACTTCAGTCGGGCTGAGATAAGCTCAGGACGGAGTAGAGATTAGAGATTTAACCCGACTTAAACAGTACGCTCCAGCCTCCATGAGACTGGATTAATATCATCTCGCAGGCTCCCTAGTGATGATGATACTCTCCATAGTTAGTTGACTAATAATAGGTAGTACTCCATAAATGTTCGGGTTTGACACAAAGATGCTGAGATGGTGCAACAAGAGGCCTTCTTGGCAGGGTTGGCCTAGAAGGCTAGAACAGGAGAACTCGTCGGACTCGTCATCATGTCAACCCGCAAGAGAATGGATAAGAAAGAAATCGATTGGGTCCACTGAGTTAACTCCGTACTCTTCAATGTCATGGCATGGCATGGCATGATGTCATTGAATCAATCAATAATAATCGCTGTATAACTACTCCGTAATTCACTTCTCCTTAGTACGGAGTACCTATGTATGTACAGTACGTAAACAGGCTGAATCTCAACCCATTGAAAGGATTGATAAATCCAATTCATTCAATTCACTGGTCAGTCAGCATGTATCAAGAGTCAGTCAAAACTGATTGATTCGCTTTCGCTTTCGCTACTCCGTACGGAGTACACGTACATGCAGCCTGCAGCCTAAGGTACAGCCCAGCCCAGCCCAGTCCGAAACAGCGGCCCCCGAAGAAGAAGGCATCAAACATCGAAGAACGAACGACCACCAATCGACGCGTCTGTATTTTTTTTTTGCTGCTGCTGCAACCCGCAACGCGCAACACGTGCACGCGCGCGCGTGTCTAGGTATGTTTGCTTATTTATTATTACTTTTTCGGATTATTGTTATTGTTGTTTTTTTGTCCTTACAATAAGTTAATTACACTGGAATTTGCGAATTGGATTTTTTAACTGACACTTAGATTCAGAATCTAAGTGTATTCAGAAACTTTTAATATTACCTAGATAGATAGATGATCTGGAGGTGTTCGAATGATTTACGTAGCTTAGCTAACTATTATTTATTTACGGTGAATTGGATTGAATTGAATTGAGTTCTTTTTTTTTCATACTGGATTTCCATCATCTATCTACCTACCTACCTAAAATTAGTCCTAGAATTCTCATTTCTGTCCTTCTACCGAGTTGACTAAGACTTGATTGATCCTGATTAAGCATTAACAAGGGCACACACAATACGCCGAAAAAAAATATTTTAGATAGTCTTAACTTTCACCTTGCTATTTTTGCGCACTGGCTGTGGGCATTATTAACTAATAACTAGCCCTCTGATGGAGAGATAGAGATGGAGACAGATAGTACATACAATCGTACTCTGTACAGTACACACATAGCTAAGTACATACATGTAACCAAGCAGGCAGGTAGATAGGTAGGTATATAGATAGGCATCTAGTCTATCTATATGCAAGTGCAAAACTCTGCATGAACATACGCAAGCCACACAACTCTGCGCGACTGACGTGGCAGCCGTCCCATCCATTATTCCCTGATGCCGAGGATATGACATGATACTTTAGCTGGCCTATAGGAGCTCAAGGATGCCCCTTTTCCAAGATTAGCATTGCAAGATTAGGTACTGGATATATCTATTCAGCTCCCTTTGTTGAAACCTGTGGGGGAGGGGAGGGTAGGCGAAGAGGGTGAGGGGTTAGACTTGACTGGACTCGACCGTGCTGTACGTATACAGTACATACATACACATGCTCATATGATCAAGCAAGTAACTTGGAATGTCTCATCTGTGATCCTATCGTTTGATCATAATAATGTACATACTGTACAGTATGTACGTACAGACTTCCAGCATACCTGGATCTGTGGCGGAGACTACGGTCAGTACTACTTACCCCGCATCAGCTTGGGCCATTCGCCAATCCTGATCCTACTGTATGATCAACTGGTTTCAAGGTGGATGGGGGCTGGGGGCCTTAAATTAGTGGCCTACTGAGTACATAAATATTATTCTGTTCATTTGCAGAGTGGTTTTGGTAATAGTGTCCTCAGGCAGGCAAATAGTAGAGTGGTATAGTGGTTAGAACGGTTATTTATATTTTTTTGGTAGAGTACTACGGAGCACTGAGTGAACGGCAGCTGCTGCATAAGCACTCGACAGTGATAGCTGTCTCGCAGCATAACTAATACGCTAAAGTATTGTAATTTCTGGCACTCCTTTATTATTTATCATCATGATGCTATCGCTCGAGTGCGGGCTCTTTAGACCTGTCCTGCTGTCGCCCAATTTGATACGGACAGCAACTATCCGCATTTGGATAAAATGCAAGTTAAGTATTTGTATACATATCTAGGGTCTGCTCATGATATAGAATTTTCGAAAAAAAAAGTTATTACACTGCAAAGACAAGAAAATAATTACTACTGTGATTATCTTCCAAAGATAGTCCACTTAGGGAAGGTTTAGTCGTGATCACGTGACTTACCATGCCGGGAAAAACTTCCTCGTAAAAAAAATAATTCCAACCGCAAAAAATAATATTCTCCGCGCGACAGCAACAACACCGACACCGACGAAACCGGCAACTTTTGTTGAATTCCTCTCAGCCTTTTTTTTTTCCCCGTTGCATCGCTAGAAGAGATGGCTGCGAGGGCTTGAATCTTCGGATTTGAGCCGGGTCAGGACTCTGCGGAGACATTCGAGCGGGTTCGCTTGTTCGTCTTTTTGTCTTTTCGTCTGTCTCTTCAAGCCCCAGCTCCAGCTCTAGCTTCAGTTCTAGCTCCAGCTCTCGAGGTCCTACTATCTAACGGCCATCATGGATATCCACCGCTGCCGCTTCGTTCCTTACAACCCGCAGGCTATCAATGCCCTTGCGTTCTCGCATCCCCCATCCCGAGATCTCGCTGGACGAGGTGTCAAGACGCTTCGACTCGCGGTCGGCCGTGCCAACGGCGATATCGAGATCTGGAACCCCCTGCGCGGCGCCTGGTTCCAGGAGACAGTTCTGCGCGGTGGAAAGGATCGCAGCATCGAAGGACTGGCGTGGACGCAGGACCCCGCCGGGGACGACCCTGATGGGAGCGGTAGCAAGATCCCAGGCCGCCTCCGCCTCTTCAGCATTGGATACTCCAACGCGGTAACCGAGTGGGATCTCGAAAAGGGACTTCCCGCCCGCCATTCGAGCGGCAACTATGGCGAGATCTGGTGTCTGGCAGCGCAGCCCCGGTGGAAGCCTGCCAAAGGCAAGGACGGGAAACCCCTCCCTCCCGCCGAAGGTGAATTTATTGGCCAGCATCTCGCGGCTGGTTGCGCGGATGGGTCAATCGTCATCCTGTCGACCGCGGACGGTGACCTGAAGTTTCTGCGTATTATGCGGCCCTCTACGAAAAGAGCCAGAGTCCTCAGCATCACGTTTCAGAATCGCAACGTTCTTGCTGCGGGATATGCGGACAGTTCGATCCGGATGTTCGATATTCGGAATGGACAGCTGTTGCGAACGATATCTCTGGGCAGGGGTCCTAGTGGGGGTCCCAAGGAAATTCTTGTGTGGTCGGTCAAATGCTTGCCGGACGAAACTATAGTCTCGGGCGATTCAACTGGAGAAATCAGATTCTGGGATGCGAAGAACTATTCTCTCATCCAAAGAGTCCAGGGACATCAGGCTGATGTTCTGGACGTTGCGGTTAGCGCCGATGGAGAATCAGTCATCAGCGGAGGAGCCGATCGGAGGACGGTCGTGTACCGGCTGAAACCCGGTGAAAAAGGTGACAAGAGACGGCGATGGGCTGAAGTGATGCATCGACGATACCACACCCATGACGTGAAAACGTTTGCTGTCTACGAGACCAAGGACATAAGTGTCGCCGTATCAGGAGGTAACTTCGTCCAACTCCGGTCTTACTGTATACAGTCTTGAGTCTAACTGGAGTCGCAACAGGCCCCGATGCAGCCCCGGTCGTCCTACCTCTGCGCGAGTTCGGAAAGGAGCATCACCGGAAACTTTCGAGCCTCCCCCAGACCCCTCAGCTCACGTCTTCTCCTTCTTCGAGATTAATAATGAGTTTCTGGGAGAGGGAAGTCCGACTATGGCGTATCCCACGAGGGCCCGGGTCATTATATGACGCTTGGGATGGCCAGCGACACCAGTTGGTAGGAAGGGTTTTGGTTCAGGTAAGAAGCGCCGCCATAGCATGACCAGCGCGATTGATGCTAACCGAGAAATAGGGCGAAGAGAACATAACTTCAGCCACGCTGTCGTCAGATGGTTCGCTCTTGGTTGTTGCCACTGTGTCCAGCGTCAAGGTGTTCACCCTGCGACAGCGCAAAGGGGATGAGAGAGACATTCTGAAGATACAAAAGGTGGACGTGCCTTCAGAAGTATCAGACGACGGCGCAAGACTCGTCGCTGTATCTCCAGACCTCCGTTGGTTGTCTATTGTGCGACCGAACAGTGAAATCTATCTCGCAAAGATGTCACCCTCCTCCGGCAAAGAAAAGCCCCAGATACACCCGAAACTCATCAAAGTGGAGCGTGCTCCCCGCCACAATCGACACGAGAAAGCTTCGCACGGCACCCTGGGCAATTATGAGAGGACAATCAGATCGATTGTGTTCTCGGATGACAGCAAGATCTTGGCATCGGGCGACCTCTCTGGTTGCGTGGATGTCTGGGTGCTGGAGGACGTGAGCCCATCGAGTCCGAACGTGGCCCGGAAGCCGAACGGTGTGGCCTCATCTGACGATGAAGAGTCGTCCGACGATGAAGATGAGCAGCCCATCATCGACGGCCAGCGCTGGAAGCCAAGCCCGAGCGAGTCGCCAATACCGCGTTTACCAGCTGGCATTGTCTTCCTGTCCTTCCGCCCCCGTCGTCCGACCAACTCGAAAGCGCTGACAAACGGGACTCACGGTCCTGCAGAGGATCGCTTAATGGTGCTGACCAGCGAGCACCAGCTGGTCGAATTCGAGGCTCTCAAGGGCAGTTTTTCGGACTGGTCGAGGCGGAATCCCAAGGCGTACCTGCCGGCGGAATTTACAGGAGTAAAGGACCGCGCGATGGGCGGTATCTGGGATATCACCGAAGACCACGAACGGATTTGGCTCTACGGGACATCCTGGCTATGGATGTTTGACCTGACGCATGATTTCCCTTCCCCGGACGCAGCAGCAGCGGCGGATGGTCAACAAAACGACCAGAAATCGGGTCAACTTGTCAAAGCATCTTCTTCTCAAAAACGGAAACGCGAGTTGGTGGAAGACGACGACGACCGGGAAGAGAGGCGGAAGTACAACAGCGGTGCCGGTGACAAAATCCCCTTGTCGCAGGTGGACGTGTCCCTGGGCACGAAGATGCGGAAGATCGTCGGCAACGACGAGTCGAAGGAGGAGTGGGTGCAGGTCGAGAAGCAGCGGCAGAACGCGAAGGACGAGCAGGAGGAGGAGGGGGAGGATGAGTTCGAGCACGGCGGCGGCAATCCTTTCTTTGTGAACGACGAGTCGAACTTTGCCCGACTGCGACGCGACAATAATCCGGATTCAGAGGAGGCTACTAGTACTACTACTACGCCACAGAAGAAGCGTTTGACGAATGGTGTCTCCCACGCCGACATCTTCCCGCATGACGATGACGGGCCTTCCTTTGCGGTCGTCGTCGACAATACCGGCCACAGTGAAGACCGCACACCGAAGAAAGACAAGGAGAAGGAGACGGAGAAGGAGCAGAAAGACGAGACGACGACAGATGCCGAGCCCAGCAAAAACAACAACCAACCCCGTCGCCAATGGTGGCACACCTACAAGTACCGCGATATCTTCGGCATCGTGCCTCTGGGGCATTCTTCTCCTGAAGCTGCCAAGGGAAAAGAAGAGCGAAATCTTCTCGAAGTAGCCGTCGTCGAAAGACCAGTGTGGGATATGGATCTTCCTGGTCGATATGTGCGGGATTACGAGTAGATAGTTTTTCCTTGGAAAGGATAAAAAAATTCTAAAAGAAGAGAAGAGAAGAGGATAATAGATAGATATGTCGACGAGTCGACGATGAGTCTTTCTTGTCTTTCTTGTCTAGGCCATTCATTTTTCGTGTTTATATACTTTGTTTGTTTGCACTGTACTGTACAGCGCTGTGCATATTATTTGCATATCCTATTGGGATTATTATTTTTCTCTGCTGCTGTTGCATGTCATGTCCATGTTTTTTTTTAGGCCTATGAATAGGTTATGCTATGCCATTATGCATTATTATTGGAAGGCTCAAAAGTTGTTTTTTTTTCTGTTTGAGAAGAATGACAGACGGACCTGCCTGCAGTGGGTATTATTCTAGTTCCAGTTCCTTTATTTTATATTTCTGCATACTACTGATTTTTTTCTTGGTACAAGTCAGTATACTAGAGACTGATCTTTCTTAACATTAGATAGATAGACAGGCAGGACACTTCACGATTAAAAAAGAAAAAAGAAGATAAGATTGATTGATTGATAGATACTGATAGATAGATGATGCCCTGTATATATCAATGATTCAAGGTATCATCAAAGCAAGCTTGCAAGCAAGTATTGAGATAACCCTGGTGTATGTATGTACATACATACAACTTGAGTTAATTGATAATGACAATGTATGTACTGTACTGTACTGTACGGTAAGTCCTGATTAGGAAACTTAAAATAAATGCATGATCTCGACAATATCTTCAAAATGAAAAACTGGCATTTGCCATAATAACATTGTGCACTGTATAACTATCTTCTCTTCTCTTCTCTTCTCTCCAAACTGTCTACATACAAACCGTTCCGAAAAAGAAAAAAAATATTCTTCAGACCAGACCAGACCATAGTAAAAAAAAAGGACTCAAAAAGAACTCAAGTGCATTGCATTCCCCGCTTTCCCAAATCGTTCTCGTTCGTTATTGCTTCGTGACAAATCAACTTCGCGGATGGATTCATTCATGACTTCGTCAATCAACACACCTTCAGGCCTCGTGATACCAGCACTAGCCTAGTCGATCAAGTGACACCGTCTCGAGGTGGATTCGCACGTTGGAGCCTTTTCGCTCCGGTGGTGGGCCGCAGGAATGCAGAAACAGAGCGACAGCACACTGGCAGCGCTGCTGCTGTTTCCGACCTTGACCGGCCAGTCTGCAGATCTGCATGTCGGGATCGAATCCCGAATGGTTACGGTAGAGTGTACGGACCTGGCAGGAACTGGGTGTGACAAGGTGTCCCATTGACGATCGCAATCAACAGATTGCCAGGATATGGTCGCGGAGAACCAAGGGCAAGTTGCAATTGCCTTGAAGTCCTCAAGTCGGGTAATGGTCCTGTCTGGTAATTCCAGGCAACCATACCAAATCGCATAGAGTTGAATAAAGACATTCTGAAAGGACTCGCGTGGACCTAATAACTCTGGGCGGAGACCACAGCCGGCTGTGACTTGTAAGCAATAATCAGACAAGCGTCAGCAGGCGCAGAACTTACAGGACTGTTGAGCATGCTGTTTCGTCTGTTCCTGCCCTTCTTGATGTGATTCTTCAACGCGCTAGAATCCAGCGGCTTCAGCAATTCAAAGCTGCACAGCAGCTCCGCAGAAACCGACATGATGGCGCCCCAGTTGTCAAATTCTCCACAGTACTGTGACAGGTCAGCACCAGTAACAACCACGGCAACAGACGAAAAACATACGTTAGGAGCGGAAAAAACTGTAACCAAGATTCTATCTTGGAAAAATTCATAGCCGTCTTCCACCACCATGTGCGCTCGACAGACCAGATCGAAATCGTGCCGCTGCAAGAAGTCCATGATCACTTTCTTGCCGAAGCAGTAGCTCACACCCCGCTCGTTCGGCTCCCAGTCTTCCTCCATATCGGCCGGGTCACTCCAGAGCAGGTCGTTGAGCAGACCATAGTCCGGAACATCCGTCGGACGAGCGATTCCACGGATATCGTCCATGTGCGATAAACTCGGCGAGAGCCCGCCGTGGACACAGAATATCTTGCCCGCGACAATGGAAGCGATGGGGAGGCAGTTGAAGGTGTCAATGAACGTCTTCCAGATCTTGATGTTGCACCGTCGCTTACATTCATCGTAGAAACCGTAAACGCGGGTGACGTTGGCACACTCGTGATTACCTCGAAGGAGGAAGAAGTTCTCCGGATACTTCAGCTTGTAGCACAGCAGAAGCAGAATGGTCTCCAAACTTTGCTTCCCCCGGTCCACGTAGTCACCGAGGAAAAGATAATTGGCTGCGGGAGGAAACCCGCACATTTCGAATAGTCTGATTAGATCCGTGTATTGGCCATGGACATCGCCAACGATCTTGACCGGGGCTGACAGTTCGAGCAAGGCAGGCTGGGAAAGAAGCAACTCCCGCGCAGCGGTACAGATTGCGACGATTTCGGCATTCTTCAGACACACAGACTTGGTAACTTTGGTGGAATACCCGGCGTCGAGCAGGCGCGAAATCATGTCATCCAGGTCGATCGACTTGAGCGCTCCCATCCCCATTCCAGGCGATCCGCTTGTCTCCGTTGGTTGGGAGGCCAGAATATCCAACAGAACAGGATTGATCTGATTTTCGTGCTTTACCAAGATCGACTCGCCAGGAGCTTGGGGAGTGGCTGGTGGTACCGAGGGCGGAGCATCAGACACTAGATCGACCTCACCACTCTGCTGAGCGGCATTCACATCTTTGTGACCACGATTCAGGGATGTCGACTGGGAAGGGGATGGAGGAGGATCGGGTGTCCCTGCGCGGGAGGCAGTTGCGTCATCGGATAGTGCCGAGGGCGCCGGAGACGGCGCGCCCCGAGCACTGCCAGCAGACCTTACAGAGGCTGTCTCTGACTTATCGTCGGAAAGACCTACAGTAGAGCCTCGTGGACTGTCATTGTTCTTGTCGCTGCTCCGTCCGGGGATCTTGGATCGAATAGAGCCTCGAAGGGATCGGATGGATTCCTTAGTGTCCGATTTGGAAAACGAGGGGTAGGACTGCAAAGGATCGCCGGAACGCGAGTCCCCGCCCTTAGACTGAGACTGACCCATCACAGACGACTGATGGGCCACAGAATGTACAGCAACCGGGTACGAGCGTCTGACGTATCTCGGGTATCAAATACCGATGAGCGGTGGTCCAGTGTTCAAACTTGCAAGAGTAAGATGGAATCAGAGCACTTAAATAGTCGCCACCGGAGGGGGCTCGAGACAAATTGGTGTCGAACGGAGAAATAATAGAGCAGGTTAAAAGTTCGCAGCGCACAGGAACCCCGCTCGGGTTAGAGAGTGCGTAACAGGTCTGAAACGGTCGCAACAGACGCAAACAAGCAGCGGAGGAGTATCACGAGCACAGCCTAAGAGACACAGCAGCTGCAACCGGTCAGTCCAGGACGGTCCATGGCATCCAAAGGCCAATGAAGGAGGGCAGACATGGAAAAGGCGAGCAGAGAGTGACCTCAACAGGCCGCCTGGCGAGGAGCAAAAGCGGTGCAAACTCGCCCAGAGAGGCCGTGTTTTGGACGGAATGCCAAGTCAACGTGGACAACTCGTGGGACGCACGGCATACATGAAATCGAGGGTGTAACTGGAGAAGGCACAGGCAACGTGCATATGGCTGACCCTGTGGGGAACGACAGGTGAGGAGGATGCATCAAGGGAATGCTGGGCGTAGCACAAACCTCCAGACAAGACCTCCCAGAGCAGTGGATTGTGCCACAGGACTTTCGCAGGCCGGCTGTGAGCAGGCGAGGCAGTCGACGAGCACAGACAGCGAGCTAGGAGGGCAGTAAAAGCGCAGAGGAGGAGAGAGCAGAGGGCGCGAGATGCTGAGCTCAGTTGATCGCCGTTTCTGTCAGCTTCGGCTTGGTTGGTTGCCTGTTTGGTCTGGAATTCGCCTGGCGCCGTCACGTGACGCGCTGCGGCTCCGCTGGCCGACGCCTGCTGGGGCATCTTATCTAGCGCGCGGAGAAGGGCGTGGAGATAATCGCTGCAGCCATGCCGCAGTATGCATTTACTACATGTGTCTGAAGATATCGTATTATTGTTCTGCTGGTAGCAGCATTCTCACGGCAGCAGCAGGGTGCCTGTTCCTGCCCCTTCGCGTGTTTACGACCCCGTCCGCAGCTTGACGCAATGCCACGACTTGGCTGGGTGCGTCAAGCCGATATCATCGCCTATCACATCCAGCAGCCTCGGGCTTTGACTTTGACACTGACATCAACATTCTACGCTCACCGCCAATCCTTGGTAACTGGCCCTCGGCCATTCACCTACGCTCACCATCGACGTGGACGCGCTCGTCGTCTGTATTTTTAGCAATTCTGCACCAAGGATATCTCTGTGCTGGAAACTTAGATAAGGAAATAGCCGTGACCATCCGACATTTCCCGTCACATTGTCCTATTGTTGGCTTGTGTATGTATATTGCCTGAAGACGAAGCGTCCTTAACCGACGGACACTGTCTAGTGTTCTTGGATCAAATGCCGACAATCCACTCCCGGCAGCGCGATGGCCTTCAGCCCTTCACAACCCATGCTGTAGTCTTAGACCGCGTGAAGTCCATGCCAGAGTAATCTGTCCACGAAGCCTTCACTACGGACAAATCATCCTTTTTTCTTTCGTAAATGGATAACGTAAACCATAGCGTTCGCTGTCTTCAGACTATCCGTCCTGTCCTTGAGAACTGCTGCTGACTGCACTCGTTCACTGCAGCCATATTATGCCGTTTTTTTTTGCCCTGTCTTTGACTCTTTGCTTGATGTGATTGCGAGAGACGATCCGCACTCGAAACGGATGCCGTCTTCTAATCGTGGGGATGCTTTACGCCGCCTGGCCTCAGTCTCACCGGTACAGCTCCGACATTAGACCGCAGGAAGGAACCCAAGGATATGGAGCATTAATGGGTTCGCATCAAAAAAAGCATTCGATCGTAGCGGCGATCGGGTGTTGTTGATGTTGAATCTTGGTATTGTATCACGGAATTATTTCCTCTGGGCCGAGAGCTCATTCGGGTTCTCCTCCAGCTCAATCCGGGTGATGTACTGCCCGGGGACGACGACAAGCCCGATGAACCGACTCGTCATGTCCACCTTGACCTTGTCTGCGTCCGCGGATGTCGATTCAGCAGCTGCCTGGATAGCAGATGGGCTCGGAAAGCGATATTCATGAGTGCCAGCGAGAATTATATTCCGATCCTGTTGTTCCGGAAAAAAAAATAAAATTAGCATGTGTAAAGCAGAAGATAAAAGAGTCCGGATAAAAAAAGGACAGTCGTTCAATGGCATCTGGGAAATTCATCAAATACGAACCGTGTCGGTACACTTGAACGTGCCAACGAACATGCGCGTGTCGGTTGTGTGAACGCGTAGCGTTCGTCCCAGCAAGGACTGGAGGTACTGCACCTCCTTGGAATTGTCGTCCATGAAGACCCTTGGCCTCGCTGTAGTGTTGCACCCGAGTACTCCGTACTGGGTGACGAAAGCTCGAAAGTGGGATGGGAAATAAATAAAAGTTCGTCCGTGATACCTTAGGCCGACAGCTCCGAGCCCCACTGCGGCTGCCCATGACGAGGTAAGATGCACACTCGACACCGGTGACGAACGCTGTCTTCAATAGAAACAATACAGAACGCTGGTCTGGCAATGTTGGACTGCTTATGTACCAGCAACAATCTTGAAGTACTAACACATCTGACAGAAAAAAGAACGTTGACAGAAGATATATATGTACAGTACGTTCCATTTCCCTATATACGAAGCCGAAGGCTCTTCGCTAACCCAGGCAATATCATCAGAAGGCCAAGATATAACTGTGTAGGCACAGACATGTACAGAATACAGACTGAACGCCGCAATCCGGAGAGACCCCTTAGAACAGTATTCCAAAACCACTCGTATCCAAAACGCCGCCCATGACACCGAAACGCCGCACGAAACTGTACAATCAGAAAATGTCGAAAAGATTGGGGTAATGTGTCCTCCCTGCGAATGGCAGCGTGCCTCAGCAGTGATAGCTGCTGCGGCGTCAAAATGCTGCTCTTGATGTCGTCAAATGACACAAGGAGATGACTGAATATGCTGCAGATTTCTGTCACATCCATCCGATACCCCCTTTCCATCTTTTTGCGTCCGGAGAGGATTCTTGCCCCGCGCAGTCCATGTCCATCTCAACGTCCATTTCCATTTCCCCAGACAGAGAAGTCTCGGACCCGCTGTCCGTTGGGCTCTCACAGCTGGCGTCTATTGAAGGGCTGTTTTCTTTGTTTTGCGACTGGCAATCGGTGCGCATTGATGAGGAAGACGCTTTGACAGGTTTGAAGAATTTGCGCAATGTCTGCTGACGCGGATCAATGGGTTCGGGTTCTGACGGTGGCGGACTGGGCGACATGGATTCATCGTGGGAAGGCGATGAGACTCGCTCTTTCTGTGCTGAGAAGAGCAGACGCAGCGTGTTTTCTAATTGTCCGTCAGCTACCACACCATTTTTGCTACCACAAGGCACGGTAATCAATGCTCACCGTAGACAGTCTGGTCGTCAGGGCGGTCGTTCCGAAAGCGTTTTCGCGTCCGGCTGTTAAGATGCCGTGGTATGTCATCAACCACGACTGCCTCGGGGCTGAAGGGAGTGACGGCGGTGATTGTTGGAAAAGAAGCCTTGCGTTTGAGAGACATGGTCTTCCGCGCGCTGGGTACGAGACTATCTAACAAGAGGTACCTGCGGGATGGAAGCACTATATAGCAATTGGCCAGCCACAGCGCGAGCAGCGACAGCAGACGCGTTCCGTTCTACAGCAAGGCTGGTAAAATGGAATGCAATGCGAATTCAGAGAGCAGGAACAACAATGGAGAGAAAAGCGCGTGCGGAGGCTGGCTGTAGCGAGGTACCGCCGTACTGGACGCGCGCCGCAGACAGCGAGGAGCGAAACCGCGTATCGGCAGGGACGCGGAGAAGCCACGCTAGCCGGATTGGGATTAATGAGCCGATCCCGAGCAGCCAATCATGTGACATCATTCCCAATACGGTATGTCCATGCATTTAGGTACCCGTGCTCCCGCCCCAACATCGTCCCGTGTTGGTGCGTTGCACCGTAACGTCCATTTTGACCACAACGTCCAATTTTGAATATTTCATCAATTTTCTACCTCACCACAATGCCAAAATCGCCAGATAAAATCGAATCCCGAATCCAGGAGGCCTTAAAAAAGGCTTCATGTCAAAAAAAGCCAAATATCTCTGCGTTGGCGCGAGAATTCGACGTGCCTCGCAAACGGCTTCACGAACGCTTCAAGGGTCGGCCACCAAGAACCGCCAAAATCCCGCGCAATAAGGTATTAGATGACCAGCAAGAGAAGGCAATTATTCGCTGGATTCGACAGCTTGATTCCCTACATTCGCCGCCTACCCCAAAGATGATAGAGTGCTGTGCAAACCAGATTTTGCAGAGGAATGTGTTATCTGTATCCAAGCCGGCTCCGCGCGTAGGGGAAACCTGGGTATATCGGTTTATTCAGCGCCTTCCTGACGACCTACATCTTATCAAACAGAAGCCAATTGAGAAAGATCGACTAGGGGCAGAAGATATTGGTATTCTGACACATTGGTTTGATCTCTTGGAGCCATATATAGCCCGGATTCCACCAAAGAATATATATAACTTTGATGAAACTGGCTTTCAATTAGGGCAGGGGAAATCTCAAAAAGTCGTCACTTCCAACCCTATACGAGCCTCCCGAGGCATTGCAACTAGCGAGACAAACGAATCCTTGACAGCCATTGAATGTATCGCGGCCGATGGTACTGTCCTTCCTCCATACTTCATCTTCAAGGGCGAATATCAACTGGAACGTTGGTATCAACAAATTCCTGATTCTGCGGATACAGACAAATATCGAATTGCTACAGCTTCCAAAGGATATACAACAGATGAGATTGCAATGGATTGGATCAGGCACTTCCATCAGCATACAGAAAAGCGGGTTTCTAAGACTGATGCAAGACTATTGCTTATGGACGGCCACGGATCCCATCTCACATATAATTTTCTGAATTATTGTGAGAAATACAACATTATACCCTTCTGTTTTGTGCCTCATACAACCCATCTTGTCCAGCCGCTTGATGGTCAGCCCTTTCAGCCTATAACACTATTTTCGCAGAAAACAATGAGATATACAGTGGGGGATATCACTATGGACAAGCCGACTTTCTTCGTGATATCCCTCAAATTCGCCAGGATACATTCAAACAACGTACAATCCGAGATGCCTTTAGTGATCGGGGGATATATCCATGGAATCCTTCAAAAGTACTTGACATTCTAGCCAACGCAAGGTCTCCATCTCCGGTTCTAAATATACGCGATAAAACACCATCAATTCAATCTATCTCAACCAATTCTCCTCCCCAGACAGTTCGTACACTGCGACGGAGCATTCAGAAGCTGGATAAGTTTGTCAATGAAAATCCTAGCCTTGATCAAAGCTTTACACGCCGTCTTGACCGAGTCTTTCAAAGTGCTATACAAACAGCTGAATTGACAGCCCAACTTCAAAGCGATATCTCTCAACATCTAGAGCGTGCACGCGCTCCAAGCTCTCAGAGATCTCGCAGAAGAATCCCTACTATAGGGCCATTGACAGTTAAAGATGCAAATCGTCAGGTTGCTGAACGTGCTGAAGCTGAACGAAAGAAGATTATTTCCCGTGTCCGGAAACGCCAACCTTCAAAGCCAATTCCCACCACTACACAACGGTCGGATACTGTTGAAAAATACTCAGGGAGATAGCCAGGATCCAGGAGATATTAATGCGCTATTTAATGTATTTAGATACTAGTCTAGATGTTGAGAAAATTGATGAAATATTCAAAATTGGACGTTGTGGTCAAAATGGACGTTACGGTGCAACGCACCAACACGGGACGATGTTGGGGCGGGAGCACGGGTACCTTATACTTAAGGTACCCAGGTACCTAGGTATTGGAATGACACTCGAGACAATCTCACTAGAAATAGCTCTACAAAGGAGCTATGTCAGATGGATGTATGGATGTAAATTCTATTCATGTTACCTGATTTACATACGTCATTTTAGAAATCAAAGGTTGGGTGGATCGAACATCTACTCCGTAAGAGTATAAAGCATTGGAGTATAAGCAACAATACATTAATCCAGGAAACAAGGTCTGATATGATGCTGGTATTGAGTTTTACTGAGACAAATCTGTGACAAGCTTGCTATTTATTCTACGAGATGTCATCATACCACAAATTCTGAACATAACCCATGCGATTTGACATTGCTACTCTACCAACCAGGCGAACCTTTTTGACAATTAAAAGCATATAACAACACTTACAAGAAGAAAAGGAAGAAAGAAAAGGGTGAGAAAGGTGAGAAGGTGAGGTGGGGGACTGTAGGTGTATCGTGCGGAGCGCTTCTGCTATAATTCCGCCTAGTACCGTTGGATTAGGCTCGAGTGATAATAGAGAGATCCCGTAGGCAAGTCTAATTATATGACACCTGACAAGATAGCTAAATATAGTTGGGAGGATAGCCTACTGCTGGTGCACTCGGAGTAGGAGAGCGTACTGCCATCGGCATGCCGTGACCCGCGGGCTATGACGACGACCCCTCCCTCACACCGTTCACTGTCTATCCCCGCTCTCGACCACAGCCAGTACGCCCAACTGGCCTGTCTTCCCCAACTCCTTTATGCATATTGTAAACAACCTCTTCAAAAGGAAAATGGCGACCAGAAGGCCATCTCATGCGGGTTCGTGGTACGACGACGACCGCCTCACGTTGACGGCTGACCTCGACGGATGGCTTGCGGCCGTTCCCAAGGAGATCAAAGGGTTGGGGACTCTGCCTATTCCTGGCGCGCGAATCATCATTGCTCCGTAGGTTTGACTTGCGTCTGCTTCTCCTTCTTCTTTTTCTTTCATACTGACGTCTCAGCCATGCGGGATACGCGTACTCCGGGCCATGTGCTGCGTATGCATACAAGGCTCTGGACCTGTCCAAAGCGTAAGTACAGGATAAAGCGACCCTTTGGCTCTCGACTGAATGAAGCGAAAGCAAACGCATCTTCCTGCTGGGACCCTCCCATCACCATCCCCTCTCGACCATTGCCTTCCCTGAGCTGAAGACCTACTCGACACCGCTTTCCGATGAGCCCCTTCCCCTCGACACCGAATTGATCAACAAGCTCCGTTCCTCCTCGCCCAGTTTCGAGACCATGTCCCGCAGAATTGACGAGAGAGAGCACAGCCTCGAAATGCACCTGCCCTATATCCACCGTCGCCTGCAGCTTGAATACCCGGACCGCCCGGCGTCTGAATACCCGCCTCTGGTTCCGATCATGGTTGGCAGCACGAGTGCCGAGACTGAACGTTCTGTAGGCGCCCTCCTGGCTCCGTACCTCGCCGATCCATCCAATGCCTTCATCGTCAGTTCCGACTTTTGTCACTGGGGTCTCCGATTCGGCTACACGTACTACGTGCCTGATGCGCCGGAGCAGCGGCCCAAACTGCCCCTCTCGCACGAGTCTCTCCCGCAGCCGCCGACGACCACGGAAGAAGCCGAAGAAGCCATTAGATTTGTGTCTGGCCAGCGAGCACTGAGCCGGAACAGCGAGCTCAAGGCCGAGATCTACGACAGCATCTCCGCCGTCGACATTGCGACCATGAAGGCGATCACCACGGGCCAGACCAAGGCGTTTCTCAAGATCCTCCGCTCGACGGGGAACACCGTGTGCGGCCGTCACCCGATCGGCGTCATCATGGCGGCGCTGGAGCAGGTGACTTCGACAGATTCGACCTCGGAGGAGAAGGGCAAGTTCCATTTCATCAGATACGAGCGGAGTTCTGACCCGGATGTTGTGTCTGAGAGTTCTGTCAGCTATGTTTCTGCTGTAGCTGTGCTGTAGACGACACATAGACACATAGAAACATTCCATGGGTCAGAACTTGTGTCTTTTTTTTTTTGTCATTCTGCAACTCCATTTCAAAGATGTGAAGTAGACGAAGCTTTGCATTTATTGAGAGTGCTACTCGAGAGTCTGAATAGACAGAGAATTTGCCTTGACTGGTTGATTGACCTGACGCCTGTGCTAAAGGGAGAACGAACTACTACAATACTACAATACTACAATGCCATAAATATCCAAAAAATGAAGGACCGTCTCAGCATATATCTACGGCGCAAACGAAAAACAACTTGCAAGCAAGCAAGTAAGCACAGCTTAGCTCAGTAACGATTGTCATTGCAATGTAAGCAATCCAAGTAAGCAAGTAAGTAAGCAAGTGGGTAAGTATTTATGTATGTATGTACATGAACGAGAGTCCCAATCAATCAATTTTGTCGTTCCAAAATTGAAACAAAAAAAATATGTACATCAGAAACAAAATCAAACATGTAAGCAAGCCTGGAGTTGGAGTTGAACATGAGCATGAACAGTCTGAGTGTCAGTGTCAACATCCGTTTCTCTCAGGTGGGGAAGGTGAAATACTCCGTAAGCGAGTGTGTCCATCTATCCATTCATCTGTCCATCTATCCATTCATCTGTCCATCTATCCATTCATCTGTCCATCTATCCATCCATCTGTCATATCCTATCATACCATACCGTATCATATCATCAACCGAGTTGAGAACTGAGGAGTGATGATTGATTGATTGATTGATCGATCGACGAAAGAAGGTATTGGAGTCAGGTCGGTATCTGTGTTCGGTCAACGAACGAGTGTACTTCGTAAACGAATGTTTATGACTGATTGATAGTAACGAGTGAGAGGACGCTCATGCAGCCGTAACCCTAGGCACCGCCGTCGCAGGAACCTTGGCTGCATTCGACGAGCCCAAAGTGTTAGTTGGACAAGGCACCTTCAGACCGGCCGACAGCGACACCAGGCCAGCAGGCTGGAGCGCATCGATGGTCGTCGGCGCAGGCAGCTCGCCAACGTAGGCGTTGAAGTTGTAGATGCCGCAGATGCACGTGTCGACGATGTCCTTGAGACTGGTGCCGCTCAGCACCGTCTGCCCGTTCCTCGTCACGGAGAAGGACTGCTTGCCGACGCCCATGGGCAGGCTGAAGGCGCTGGCGCCGGCGGGCGCGTTCCACGTCTGGGTCTGGTTGCCCGAGGTGGCCTTGACGGTGGCGGGCGAGGTGAGCAGCGCGACGACGAAGACCTCGTCCGCCAGCGTCTGCCACCCGTTGGGCCGGCCCTCGAAGAAGTTGCCGCTCGCGTTGTTGGCCATGGTCATGGTGTTGTCTGTCGAGTCGCAGTCTAGCGACTTGGGCGTCGGGCGGTACCAGTAGATCAGCTTGTCGGCCGTAATGTAGCTGTTGACTGACGTTGCGCCCGCCTTGTACGCTGCGATGAAGGGCTGCGCCATGTCGAGCCAGCCGTTGTGAGGCCTGACGTATCTGTTAGGAATCAAGTTGCATATGGGAAGACAGGTTCTTAGGGCTTACATATCCATGGCCCATTTCGACGCTCCGTCGTCAGTGTGCGGCGACGACAACGGCCCAACATAGTGCGACTCGCCGTAGTCGTTCCAGGTCACGATCTCGACGAACTGCGGGCCCAGAGTCAGGATGTCCTGCCACCGGTTGAACCAGAGGAGGTCAGACGGGAACACCCAGTTCTTGCTGTACGAGACTTCGGCGCCGTAGTGGGTGGAGAACCAGGCCGAGGCAGCTGGTGCAGTCAGTCATGAACTTCCCTACAGCATACTTCTGCGAGTGAATGACGACTTACGTGCAAGGTAGGGCTTCCCGTTCAGAGCAGCAATGTACTGCTGGTCCCCCTCAGCAACGGTCACGTTGTGCCCTGGCGTCGGGGCCTTGTTGTTGCCGTTGTTGTCCCAGGCCATCCAGTTGAGGGCGCCGTCGATGTCGCCAAAGTCGTTGTTGGCCGGGTGGAAGTTGGGCACGAAGAACAGCGATGTGTTGGCCGCCTTTTCCATCGCGCTGACGTCGAGCCCGTCGCCGGCGAAGGAGGAGACAAAGACCCGGTCGTCTACCCTGAGCTGGGCCGTCCTGTTGGCGTACTGCGCGACCTTGGCTCCGATGGCGCTGGCCTGGCCGGTGCTCCACCAGTTGAAGTCGAACGAGATGAAGACCTTCATGCCGTTGTTCGCCGCAGACTCGTACGCATACCCCAGCTGGGTGTCCGTGTACGGGTCGACACCGATGTTCAGGGCAAAGGCATCGATTCCAATGGACTTGGCACGCTGCATGTCTGCATCGTAGTCGGCAGCGCTCTGGCGATTGCCGACGATGCCGATCTGTGGAGGTCAGATGTTTGGCCAAACGACATATAAAGCACACCATAGGGTCTGCATACCATGAAGTGAGCAAAGACAAGCCTACTAGTGGCATTGGACGCACGTGGAGCAAGATGGTAGCCCTGAGAGACAGGCACAGCTGTCGTGGGGAGGACCAGCAGGGCCCCAAGCAAAGAGACAAGGAGAGAAAAGAGTAAGTTCTTCATGCTGAGATGATATCAAGGAGGGTATTTGGGACGAAGGAGTGACTGAGATGGTCGGACACTGCCTGAAAGAGCTGACGAGCAGAGGGTGAAGGGCCATATATATAGACATTCAGCAGCATGATACGAAAACCCCCAAACCCTCTCACCATGGCGACTCTTGCCAGTCAGTCAGTCACGAGCAATTCAGCTGGAACGGCCCTACGATCTGAAGCCATCCAGCCGAAACGATCCTGCATGTTGTGCAGACAGACAAGCAACGTGAATCCCCGTTGGCCCCCCGCATGTTTGCTTTTACGCCAAGGTGAGTGAGCAGAGGGATATCGTTGAATGGAAGGACGACGATGACCATCCAGCATGACCTATCCCCAACAGGAGGAGAAAAGATGCCAAGGCGAGCCCAACGCGGAGAAGTGTCGAGCCATTCAAAATTAAAAAGTAAGCAGTATCACATGGTCAAGGGTCTTTTTTTCTTTTCGCAGAGATTCTAGCGGTGGCAGCCCTATCCAGACAGCGGTGAAGTCGCATCCAGAATGCAACGGACGAGCCAAAAGGGCAATTCGTGAAATTGCGGGGGGGCCATGAGGGCGGCTACGAGGTCAAGAGATACGGTCATTAAGGCTGTTGGGAGTCTGGTAAGAATACTGGGAGAGGAATGAAGTGTTACATCTGGGAGATAACTCTGTTGGAATCGCCATTTGGGGGCTATCTTGTATAGAAGTGTGGAAATCTGGAAACTCGACTTGGCAAGGCCTAGATAAGGTGGCTAGACAAGTTGATTTTATATGAGATGGCTGTTGAAGATATTTTTCTTGAAGTATATGCTACTTCATGATATTGTTCATGATATCGTTCCTCCGTAGTTGAATCAATCCGTGCTGGTGTAAGATGCACGCTATCAGATGGCCTGAGAGTGCAAATCGACGATCTGACGTTGGATATCTCGAGCATACCGCCACATGCCTATCGAATAAGATCGACATGTGCTTATGATTAGGTATAGTGCGATATGTAGAGTACGGATTAGTCTGTTTCAAGGCTGCCCGGCAGTTGCCATCGTTCGTCTGCGACGACAAGCGATTAATGTCCGCTGACTGCCGATGAATTAAGGTTGATTTGCATTGCTCGAGCTAAGGCATGCAAGAATAATTAATTCTCCCAAATATTACCTAAATTGCCTGCGGGCACTAATCAGCGCGCAGCCAGAACAGGCCACGCGACGCCATCACCGGATACGCGACGAATTGGCCCGCCGGAGTCATTGGCGCCGCGACCCTGCAATCTTATTACCCTGGGAAACATCCACTGCCCGGCCCTGCAGCCCAGCCCAACCAACAGGCCTGCGATCCTTCGTCCCAGCGATTGATGTTGCACGCAGCACGCAGCCTCGGGCCCAGAGTCGTTGGAATGGAATGCTATGGAAGCACCCAATGCTACCCTCGACGGCCTCAGCATGCGCGATACCACGTCGATATCTGTTGACTTCGGGGGAAGGGAAGTGCCAACCACGAGACGTACGATGGGAGCAGATGATATGGCGACAGACGTGAACTACCAAACGGATCGATTGGGATAGATGGGATGGGTGGATGAGCGGGGTGTCGTTGCTGAATGGCATGCAGACAGACAGACACTCTGACCTCCCTCAGATCGCTCACTTCAAGCCTCACATGTCATCTGTCCGGGACGAGGACCTGGTGGAACGTGAGGCTGAGATGAGAACGCTCAGACTATTTACGAAGAAGCTGACTAATTTCTGCCGGGCCTTAACACAACCTCAGTCGGAAATTACTGATTGCGATCCCTGCTCAGTGGGACTGCCAGGTCGCTTGGCTCGTATTAGCCCTAACGTTAGCTCTGTACAATAGGAAATGAATCAGGTAGTCGACTGCGCTACGTGCAACAAATCGAACGAACGAACGAACAAACGAACGAACGAATCTTAATTCCAGCCCCTATGTACAGTACATACATGTACAACTTGACCATCGATCCAGAACAGTCTCTCAGGCTGCCAACTAAGGCTAGTTAGTCCGCTGTCGAAACAGACCCAGCGACTCAACGAGGGGCCGATCATTGATCGCAAACAGATACGCATCGCTGTCGGACGATGTGCAAGTGTGCTGGATCCGCGACCACGCCGGCACGGCGAACGTGTCCCTCGCCGTCCACTGGATCTCTGTCTCCGAGCCATCGGGGGCCAGGATCGTGGTGCTGCCTTGCCCGCTCTCGACGTGATAGATGAACGAGCACGTCTCCTGTCGCGGGTCCGTCGTGTGGCCCGGTGCGATCCGCTCCGCCTGCGCGCTGATCGTGTCCGAGAGGTGTTTGCGGTTCTTGCCGTGGTAGTGGTAGATCGAATACGGCTGGGTGGGTTTGTCGCGGTCTAACGCCGCGCGGGTTTCTTTCCAGGGGAATCTCCAGACGCTGTCCGGGGCGGGTCTGAAAAATCAATCAGTCAGATGCCAGTCATCTCCTGAGGAAATATCGTCTCACGTGCTCGGATATCGACTCTCATGATAATTCTTCGCAAAATTGACTGGCACATTCCGGAAGAGCGGCAGATCCAGCCCATCCAGCCAGATCATCGGATCCGTGCCCTCGTTGCCATGGTCATGCCAATGCCACGGCGGGGTCAGGATCACGTCGCCGCGCGCCATGGGGATCTTCTGCCCTTCAACGGCCGTAAAGCCATTGCTGCCTTCGATGATGAAGCGCAGCGCGAACGCGACGTGGCGGTGTGCGGGGGCCGTCTCGCCGGGGAGGACGAGCTGGAGGCCGCTGTAGATGGTGTCGGTGGTGTATGGTGGTTCTGTATAAAGTCAGCCAGCCACAGCCTCAGCCTCAGCCTCAGACTCAGACTTCTGGGCGTACGCATTCTCGGATTCACAAGCATCAGCACCCTCCTCTCCGCCTCCTCCGCGCCGACTATCTCCCCCGCCTGCATCAGCGCCGGCCGCATCTCGCTGTATTTCCACAGGACGGGCGCCGCCTTGGGGTTGGGATGGGGCGGGACCATCTGGTGCAGGACGGTCCAGAGCGGAGCGGAATGCTTTGCTTGGAGGGATTGGAGGAAGGTGTCTTGCGAGGGGGGTGTGTGGGTGGTTGTTGCTGCCATTTCTGCCCAGTCAGTCTGTCAGTAAGTAAATCAGTCGATTGAGGAGCAATAAAAGAAAAACACGATGTGAGTATAGATCAACTGACGGAGTGGGTTCATGCATACCTCACTAATTACTACACTATCTTAGGTAGGTAATTATGTATTCTGGTTTGCCTGCTAACTAACGATTGACAGATCGATAAAACTAAATAAAATGGGATATAATGGGATATCACCTGCAGATAACCAACCAACCCATACATAGCATATACATAATATCGAACAACCCCGCCCGCATCGCAAATCGGATTCATGGATCCATCATCCGGACGGAGTACTCCATACTCCATCTGGATTCTCCACATTCCCCACATTCTTACTTAGATCGCTCCGGATCTACTCCGTACTGTATGTACATAAGGTATGGTTCGGATGTCGTTCCGTTCCTCGGACCTACGTCCCTACCTAGTCGGTTGAAAATCGGTTTACATTACAGTATGGATGTGTACAGTACAGTACACTTCTATATTCGTTTTGTCTTCCGCACAACCCGTCAGATTATTAGAAGAGGTTGCTCGGCACGCTATTCAGCCAGGACATATCCTGCAGATCCGGCAGATGGAAACTGTCCAGAATATTAATACAGGCAGCATTATTCAAGCCTTCTTCGCCTAACGACATGTCGTTTGGCGCGTCGCTGGGGATCGGCCCTTGCTGACGAGGCTGCGGCTGGTCGTTTGCTGTCGTTGTCGCCGTCGTTGTTGGCATTGTTATTGCTGCTGCTGTTGCTGCTGCTGCTGCTGCTGCTGCTGCTGCTGCTGCTGCTGCTGTTGCTGTTGTTGTTGTTGTTGTCGTTGTTGTCGTCGTCGTCGTCGTAGGCACGGAGATCACCCGCTCGTAAAGGATTTCCAGAGCGGCGACACAGCGCCGCGCGGAGGCGCTGAATTCCTGGTACTTGCGGAGGATCTCGAGCGCGCAGTTCCACGACCGACTGATCGACGCCTCTGTTACCTCGGCCACGATCGCGGAACGCAACCGACCGGCAATCAGCACTGTTGCGGCGGCGTAGACATCTGAACCACCGTCAGTCGGTTCAAAAGCGTCCAGACTGAATGAAGGGTGTGGGTGATCTTACATAGTGTGTTGTACCACCACGCCGGAAGCGGCCCCACGGATCCATCAGCTGGCGTGTTGCTGAAAATGAGCTCGATCAGCTCCTGCGCGACTTTGACGCATATGACGGCGCATTGCAGGGCGACTCTCTGCGGGAATGAGTCGTCTAGGGAAGTCAGGGGATCCTCGGCCTGTAGATCCCGCGCTGTGCAGTATCGCGACAGGATTGGTCTGAAGAGAAGTAGCCTGACGTATAGGAAACTGGAGAAAATTAGTTTTGAGTTTCTCAACGAGTGAGGTGGTGTGTTTACCGCGCTCGTATCACAATGCTTTGGCGGTAGAAGATGGGATTTTTCGAAGCGTCCCGGGACGATCCGCGAAGATGAGGCGGCAACGATCGAGACCACTTGGTAAGGGCTCGATCGAGTTCGAAGATCGTGCGCTCGCCTTCCTTGCTCTCCTGGCTGAAATAGAACCCGTACATATCCTCCGCACCGTCCTCCGGAACGGAGGGCATGTAAAGGCTCAGAAGAATGTCGTTCATGATCTCGTAGAGTTCTACCGACTTTGCGAAGAACGCCATTATTGACGGCCGGTCTGCCGGCTGGCGAACTTCTCCTCCATTCGAATTGCTGTTCATGAACTCCTCGTCTATAGTTGCGGGCAACGGAACCGCCTGCGCAGAGCATTTAGATATCATGGCCGGACGGCCGAAAGTCATGGAGACGACCCTGCAGAATATTAGTTGGTTTTCTAGATGGTCGTGACGGTTATGACACTACCTGTCCATCAAAACACAGCCATGCCATATCCTTCTAGCCAAGTGCCGCTCGTGGAAACTCCGGAATCTCGAAATAGTCTGCGACAGATGCAATCCCAGACTTTGGGCGTTACGAATCGCCAAGCTGGTGACGATCCAGCACTGATGAGCCGAATCGGTACTTTGCAGATACTGGCCCATCAGCAAAAGGCACTGGATCAGTTCCGCGGATCCGCTGTGCCACAGATTGAAATGAAGCAGCTCCTTGGCCCGTGAGAAAAACACGTCTGCCGTTACCCTCCGCTCGGCAGGCTTGATGAAGTCGGCGAGCTGGCAGCTCAGGGCGAAAATCACGTTGAACGTGCACATGAGCATGTTCTCGTCGTAGTCCGAACTCTCGCCCGTCCAGATCTTGGAATACTCGGATGTCATCCTCGCTCGGTCGAGGAATGGATAGAGCGGGAAGACCAGGTTCCAGTAGACCTCCATCAGGCTGTCTGCCATTTTCCGCGGAGGGAGCACGTAGTTATTCGCCACATTGGACTGACTGACTCTTCGAGGCGTGGGCATGAGCGTCGACTGACGACGACGCTCCGGAGTCCCCATCATCATCGAGACGGACGGGCGCCCTGATTCGGGGGAAACCACCTTTCTGTCGACTGCAGTCTTGATCTGCCTCATAAAGCTGGCTGCACTGGAACTACCGAAGAAGCCCTGACTGGGTCGCTCTTCTTCGACCGCACCCATCATGGCATTGACTCCCTCGGAGCCATCATCACCGCGCGGCTGCTTTTCGTGGAGGGAAGTCGTTGTTGACTGGGATGACTCGTCCGCCGGAGAAGTCTGAGAAGGGGTATTCCTAGACTCGAACTCGTCCAACAAGCCTGATGGAAAGTCTTTTGGGCCATCCTGGTAGCTGAGAGGCGTGGCAAGAAACGTAAATGGAAAACGAGCCTGAGGTGAATAGTTGGAAAAACCAGGCGCAGTACGCGATGGCTGTGTCTGGTGCAATTTTATCAGCTGTCGTCCGAGCTTTTGACACTGTAAAATACTGCACTCACTTGGACAGTCGAGGACTGCTCCTGTGTCGTGTTTGTTGTTGTTGCATCTGGACGGTGATGATCTTGAAGACCACGCTCCCGTTCCAGCGCCTTGAGTCTCTTTTCAAGAGTGGATATGTAACTACATTGTACAGTAGACAAGTTAGCGCAAGATAGTCGCCATCAGTACTTCACCAGGATGAACCACCTTCTGGTCACCCTCTTCTTCTCCGATTCGACTGTATACACGCACTGCACGCTGGCGTTGCTGTTGCTTCTCCTGGCGCAGGCCCCACAAACTAGGTAGCTGCAGTCAGAACACAAAACACAGTAATACTGCGACCTCACATACCGGGCTGCACTCCGTCACACCTTATTTTCCTGCTCCGGCATTGATCGCACGCGAGGGCAATCTTCCGTCGCTTCTTCGTCTGTCGATGCGGATTCCGGTCCAACTCCCGGTCGGGACTGGCATGGTCCATAGATAGAAACTGATCGGGATTTGATTGTCGATACAAGCGAGATATTATATGAGCCTGGGGAATGATCTCTTTTTTTTTCTAGAACTTGGCACTGTTGGCAGTTATTGATTATCGATAAGTGATTACGGGGCTGAGTTACTGCTCGGAAGGCATTCCTTCAGGGAGTGCGGTGCGGGACGAGATCCGGTAATTATCGCACGGCAGATCCTCCGACCGTTGGTAACTGCGGGGAGAAAGCCTCTCCAACCACACGTTGGACTAATTAGTTGAGACGGCTGAGTTACGGTTGTATACCTGCTTCGTAACACTTCTTGTTTGTAACGCTTCTTGCGGTAATACTCTGGTTTGCGACATTCTCAATCCAGCCAGCAAGTTTGTCACCATGTCCTCCTCCTGGTCACGCTTGATCCGTTTCATTGACGAAGAAGGAAAGACGGCATACGGCGAGCCGGACATCGAGAGCATCGAGCAGCTCGACGCGCGGCTGCAGGATGGGAGTCTGTATGCTCACGAGCTGCTAGGAAACGACCCATTCTCGCTGACGGCGGGATCGAGGCGTCTGCGCGTCAAACAGCTGCTGCCAGTTCTTACCCCGGACGATGTGCCTATCATTCGCTGTATTGGACTGAATTATGTGAAGCATAGTGCGTTTTGTACCGGCTCCATGTCAATGCTACGCCTGCTAACATTGTCATAGTCCAAGAAGGCGGGCGAACTCCGCCACCGTATCCATCAATCTTCATCAAACCATCGACCTGCATCGCAGGGTTCAATGACGAGATTCCCATTCCCAAACTGGCCCAAGATTCGCTCGACTATGAAGGAGAACTAGTAAGTGATTCTAGACCACCATCATCTGGGACTGGAGTTCATTTTTCATCTTCTTCAGTCAATAGTCATCGGCAAGACAGGCAAAAACATCTCCAAAGAAGACGCATTGGAGTACATAGCGGGCTATTGCTCGTCGAACGATGTCTCCTGTCGGAAATGGCAGCGAGACCCGGCTTTTGCGGGCGGTGTTCCGCAGTGGTGTTTTAGCAAGGGCTTCGACAAGTATGCCCCGTTAGGGCCGGTGCTTGTTTCTCCAAAGGTATGACATTACTGACTCGAAGGAAGCAAGCGCAACCTAGCTAATGGCCATATACTCCGTATAGGTGGTTGGAGCAGCAGACAACCTCCGTCTGCAGACCTACGTGAATGGCGAACTGCGGCAGGATTCCTCCACGAGCGATATGCTCTTCAGCGTCCGCGACATCGTCAGTTTCGCCAGTCAAGGCACCACGCTGCAGAAGGGAACCGTCATCATGACCGGAACGCCTTCCGGCGTGGCCATGGGGATGAAGCCCGCTCCGGTGTATCTCAAAGACGGAGATGTGGTGGAGGTGGTCATTGATCAGCTGGGGAGAACGAGGAATACGATGTCTTTTGAGTAGAGATATTTTCCTTTTTTCGCGAGATTTACGATTAATAATTCTAGAAAGGGAGAAAATAAAATGTCCATCTTACTGGCGGGTAAAAACCTAGGTTGAGTTAAATACCTAATCTGGACAACATTCGGAACGTATTCCGAGTCCCCGAGTCCCCTGTTCCCACCCAGCAAGGGACCTTGGACAGGCCAAAGCTTCGTATGCATAACTTAAGTTACGTTCACGATCAGCATGCAGCTCCCGTGCAATACCGCTTCTACTGGATAATTCTATCCAATCACCCCAGTCAAACAAGACTGCAATCTAGCAGTTGTGAAGGGATGATCCTTTGCTAGCTCTTCCAGGCTTGTTCATGACGGGTGATCTACACAAGGTGTAGCATAACTAGGAAAAAAAAGAAGAGAGAGAGAGATTGACGATTGACGAGATGTCACAATCCAAAGCTTCCTTCAATATCGTCATCGTCGGTGCCGGGCTGGGAGGACTCGGGGCAGCAGTATGCCTGGCAAGAAAGGGGCATCGGGTGACGGTGCTGGAGGCCGCATCGCAGCTGGCAGAGGTGGGAGCGGGCATCCAGATCCCGCCCAACAGCACCCGCATCCTGGACGCCTACGGATTGACCAGCCAGTTTGAAAAGAAAGTCGTCTGGCCGAAAAACATCACTTTCCGCCGATATGCCACTGGCGCCGACATTGGATCGACTCCTTTGCATCCGGACATGACGGAGAAATATGGCTATCCGTGAGTGTCTTCTATGCGATCGATGAAAAGAGACGGTGCCAAATACGAGACGTTTGGCTGACGAGCACTACTCAGTTACTGGTTAATCCACCGGGCTGACTACCAAGCCATTCTGTACGAGGCTGCCAAGGAAGCAGGAGCAACGGTCCTCCTGGGGACACCGGTCGACCGCGTGGATGCACGAGCTCCCGCAGTGATTCTGCAAGACGGGAGACGGATGACCGCAGACCTCATAGTCGGGGCTGACGGTACGTTGTTTTCGACTCTCAGATAAATTCGACACGTGTTCCTGACAGCAACACAGGCATTCGTTCCAGAACCCGTAGAGCGGTGATCCCAGACCGCGAGATTGAAGCCACAGATTCACCCCATTGCGCCTACCGCGCCACTGTGCCGGCGAGCCTGATGAACGCCGATGCCGAGGTCAAGCACCTCATGACGGACGTCAATGCGAACTGCTGGATCGGGCCGGACCGCCATATCATGGCGTATCCCATCCGACAGGGGGCCATGTACAACATGGTCCTTTGTCATCCGGGCAAAGCCTCTGTAGGCAGGTGGAATGAGCCAGGAGACCTGGACGAGATGAAAGCCCATTATGCGAGTTTTGACCCCGTCATGCGCAAGGTTCTGACAAAGGTATCGGGCTGCCTGAAGTGGAAGCTGGCCGACCTTCCGCCATTGACCACCTGGGTCAGCAGAAGCGGGAAGGTCGTCTTGATTGGGGATGCAGCGCATGCGATGCTCCCGTTTCTTGCTCAAGTAAGTGTTTCTCATAGACGCGGCGGCTTTTCTTGCTACAGATGCTGAAGACTCGTAAGGGTGCTGCCATGGCCATCGAGGATGGCGCTGCGCTGGGTGAATGCCTCGATCGAGCGGCCACCAAGCGGGACCTCCCCAGAGTCCTTCAGGCTTTCCAGACGATCAGAAAGCCTCGCTGCGAAAGGGTCCAGCTAGGGTCACGGGCGAACGGCGACATCTGGCACCTGCATGATGGAAAGGAGCAGGAACAGCGCGACAGGGCGATGAAACAGAGGGCCGCGCAGCGAGAGGATGGCAGTTCCAATCCCAACCAGTGGTCTGACGAGGATTTCCAGCCGTGGCTGTTTGGACATGACGTGTTCGCCTATGTAAGTCATCCATACACGCCATTGTTGGGAACTGGCATCTGACGTGTTGAGCAGACAAACGCTATGCTAGACGTGATATTGAGAAGCCCAGCACGTCTTTAGTCTGGCAGAGTATGATAACAGGCTGTAAGAGGTGGTATCAATGTACAGGATCAATGTAGACTGAGCTTGGCATGTGCTGTACTGTATACATATTGCTGCTCCTGGATCGGTCAAAAGGCGGTCAGGCGACGTCCTGCCCCATCCAGCGGGCGATATCTCGCGCGAGGATCTTGTTAGCTTTCTTAGCTCTTGCGTGTCGCGATCACTGTGAAGCTGTCATTGCCTTCTCCAATTAATGATTTGTCTCCATCGCTGCTGCTATTTTAGCGCCCCGTCTACCCGTGTCTACCCGTCGCGCCCCGCGGCTTCCGATGTCCGAGCTCGGATGCGGTGAGTCGTCGCCAGCTGGTCGCTCTCGTCTATATCACCGTGGCAGCCCTTCTGTTTCTTTTCTCTGTTGGATAGACGGTGTTGAACCCTTGTTTTCTTCTATCCTTTTCTATGATGCCTGTTTCCGCCAGTTGGGACTCGTGCACTGCCGCATAGCTCCAGGCCAGGGCCCCGCGTCGTGCTGATATGGCAAGACTGAAGAATGGGGTCCATTCTTGGGAGGACGTCCTCGCCCAGCGGTACCAAAGTAGGTTCACGCTGATTCACCTTGTCGTCTTCTGCAAAGAAATCACGTTGAATTCAAACGAGCTGAATTCATCATCTACCACCGGAGTTTTCCTCCGATGACTCATCCGTACTGCGGACCTCAAATCAACAGTTTCAAGAAACCATACGGCATCGTTTGGTGTACTAACGACGCGACTAAGGTAACAAGCCGTCGGCGTTACCTAGGTACAGGAAGCGTACCGTTGTTGGTCGAGGTCCGGTGCCCAAGGGACTCGACATCAGCATCGAACCCAAGTGCCAGCCGGGATGTCCGTTGTTGAGCAAGCTTGCGCCAGAGATCCGCCTGATGATCTGGGAGTACGTTCTGGGAGGTTTGCGACTGCATATTATCCAACGATCTCAGAGACGTCTTGGCTATGTGGTTTGTCCCCAACATGATGCATGCGAGATATGCCGCGGCGGGCTCCATCAGCCGGTGAAAGATGGCGAGCATCTCTCAGATTGGTCTCTGCTATCATTACCCATTACCTGCAAACAGATGTGCGTCAACTTGCTTTCCATCTGTTGCTGCGATTGCATATTCCTCTGGGCGCATGTGCGGCCAAGAGTGCAATGTAGCTGATGAGGTTACTGATGACCAGTTACTGCGAGACCATCCACATCCTCTACGCATCGAATGTCTTTGAGTTCAGCAACACATGGTCCCTGACCTACCTGCGTCCCACCATCCCGCAAGACCAGTGGAACGACATCCGGGTGCTGGACCTCAAATGGGCCTTCCCCGGCCACTGGCTGCCCAGCAAAGACTCGGTCAAGTCGGTCTATGTCTGGGCGGGTCGACAGCAGTGGATCGACACGTGCAACGCGATTCTCCGCATGAAGGGACTCGAAGACTTCACCCTGCATCTGACGAGCAACTGGTTCGGCGAGCCGGTGGAAAAGATCCCCATCTTCCTGGCGCCGTTGAGAGAGCTGAGGTTGCGACGCAGGTGGAAGATCCTGCTGCCGCCGCAGCCGTACTACAAGAACGAAATCTCCCGCCTGAATACGATGCTGCAGAAGGAAGGGATAGATTGTGAGATTCACGAGGCTCAACACTGCAGCGGAGAGAGTCCGCACTATCTGACTCGGAAGAAACTTCTGAAATAGCGTTTCATGTTTACCCATCAGACCTGAAGGTTTCCCCCCTTTCGACTTTTTCTATTGGAAGTTTTACCAGTGTATAGCATTTTCAAACTCTTAGAGCGTTTAATGATTGCATCTTTATTGTTCGACATCCTGTTCAGACATGATCGTGGGCGTCTGAGATGCCGTCTAGTGTACATAGGAAGGAACGATATCGTCCATTAATACAATTGATCGTTCAGCATACCTGGTTTGATGTGACTGAATCCCTTGGGGATGGCCATTGGATAGTGATCAAATTAAGTCTACATCATCCATGACCATGTCTCTTATCAGTGGCATGCACGGCTTATCAATTTATTCGCGTCCTCCGGCGTTCCTGAGCGTGTTCCTGATGGCATCCCCGCCCCGTTAGCTGCAGACGCCGGTTACCGGAAGGGTGTCGAGCACGACATCTCCGGCTCAAGTGATGCGAGAGCATGGACTGATTTCTTCCACACACATTGTCAACTCCTGCAACAATAATTGCACAAAGTACAGGTGCAGTTTGGAGAGGCTGTCTTCAGCTTGTTTGTTGACATGGGCTCTCCCAATCTCCCGGAGATAAGGCCCCGCCGCTCTTATCGGCTGCGGCCCGGTCGCTTGCTGCTGCCGGCTGCCATCGTGCTAGGCTTCGTGCTGCTGATTCTCTATCCTCCACGGCTTGCCCACTATATTGTCGAGTTTCGCAGCAGCGACTCAACGCTGCTGCAGTCGCAATGGGACGCCCTCGATGCTGGTCTTCGTCGATGTGCCGAGTTGACTGCGCCGTCTCCGGTCTACTCGCTCCCTCCACCGGCAGACCGCAGCAACCCGCGCTGGAACCCGATCAGCGGACAGAACAAAACAGTCGTGCTTCGTAATGCCACTCTGTTCGACGGGGATGCTATTCTCCCAGAGCCAGTGGACATTGTCTTCGACAAGGGCGTCGTCCGCTCCATCTCCTCGACCGGTGCACGTGACTATGCCACCAGCAGCGACCCTGATATCAGCGTCTTCGAACTGGATGGCCGATTTGTGACTCCAGGCCTCGTGGACATGCATTCGCACCACCTGGTCGGCGCCTGGCCCGATCTGAAGGGGTACCAGGATATCAACGAGGTCAATGATGCCACGGGGCCGCTGACGCCGTTTGTGCGAGCGCTCGACAGCATCAAGCCCTACGACGTGGCTGCCACGATCATCGCGTCGGGTGGTGTCACGTCGTCCTTGATTCTGCCCGGCTCGGCCAATATCATAGGCGGAGAGGCGGTGATCGTCAAGAATCTGCTGCGAAGCGGCGAGAACGGCGAGGAGACTGTCGAAGAGCTTCTCCTCGAGCACGGCATTCCGAAGGAGAATCGACGGCGGTATATGAAAATGGCATGCGGAGAGAACCCCCGACGTGTGTATCATCACACCCGGATGGGAAATGCGTGGATCTTCCGCCACCACCTGGCGCGGGCCAAAGATCTGCGTGACCGCCAAGATGCCTGGTGTGCGTCTGCGGCGGCTGCCAGACGCAGCGGCGATTCTGCGACTGCTGCGGCCCTGCTGGCGGTTGGTCCGGATGGGAAGGGAGGCCTTCCGGAGGAGCTGGAGCTAGACTCGACCGTGGCGATCTTGAGAGGGAAGATCGGGGTCAACATCCACTGCTATGAGCAGGAGGATTTTGAAGACATGCTGCTGCACAGTGAGGAGTTTGGCTTCCGGATCCAGGCTTTCCACCATGCGTTGAGTGCGTGGAAGGTGCCGGAGCTGATCAAGAGCAGTGGACAGTACGTAATAGCCCAGGATATCTTGAATTATAAACTGACATGAAGCTAGGAACATTACCATCGCAACGTTTGCGGATTTTAGTCTCTACAAGAAGGAGGGATACGACGCCAGTCTGCGAGCTGGCAAGATCCTGGCAGAACATGGCGTGCCGGTAGCCTACAAATCGGTATGTTTGTGTCTCACTGTCATGGTGCTGCTGCTAAGTCAACTGTTAGGATCACTTCGAAGAAAACACGAATGCAAAGTATCTACTGTAAGTTTTATTTTTTTTGTTCCACTCCGTCTAGATTATTCATTGATTGATTGATTTGTGCGTGACAGCTCCCAAGCTGCGACGGCGCATTCCTTTGGTCTTCCGGAAATCAAGGCATTGCAATCAGTGACCAGCGTTCCGGCAAGGGCCCTGGAGGTGCATCACCGGATCGGGTTTGTGAAGCCCGGCTACGATGCCGATATTGTCGTGTGGGACTCTCACCCGCTCTCAGTCGGGGCGACTCCTTTACAGGTTTACATTGATGGGAAGGCGACGTTGGAGGCAGTGGATTTGAGGAAGAACAAGGATGACAGCGTTAAGCGAGTCCAGGAGAAGCCGAAAATGCGTGCAGAGACTCCGGCTAGGGACATCAAGGAATTCTGCTCGCGGTCGCCCACGGGGTCAGAGAATATTGTTATCACCGGGATCAGCAATTCCTATCTTCAGTTGCCGCATGTCAAGGCGTCTGGCAATAATCTAACGATGGTCATCAGCTCCGGCAAGATAACCTGCCTGGGTGGACACGAGGAGTGCGTGACAAGCATGTCTGATGCAGACGTCATCTCTCTTCAAGACGGATACGTCCTTCCCGGCCTGACCGCGATATCCACGACACTGGGGCTTACGGAAATCGAATCGGAGGACAGCACGAGCGATGGCCGCGGTAATCCGGATGCCGATCCGTTGGATCCCGACAACGCAATCTATGCGAAATACGGAGTCCACACCGAGGGCAGGGCGTTTCAGAGAGCTCAGATCGGAGGCGTGACGAGGGCAATCACGGCGCCTGTGGGGAGGTCGTTCCTGGGCGGAGTCAGCGTGGGAATCAAGACGAGCGAGGGAAGCAATCCCATCAACGGGGGAATTTTCAAAGACGATGTCGCCTTGCATTTCGTGGTTGGGCAAGATGTCAAGGGTGAGCGGCGAATTCCTAGTTAACTTCGTTGGAAATGTACTGACTTGACAGCAGGATCATCGCACACGCCAACCGTGTCTTCTTCGATTGCTAAGCTTCGCAAGATCTTGGATAACAACAGGGGCAAGGATAGTCTTTTTGGCAAAGCTGCCGATGGGAAGCTGCCTGTTGTTGTGCATGCTGATAACAAGGTGCGCAGCATCATCCACCATTTGTCCTTGGGTTGGCTGCTGACGGACGAAGTACGACACCCTGCAACTCATCAAGGTCAAAAACGACTATGCAAAAGTCCGGTTGGTCATTTTTGGCGGTGCTGAAGCGCCTGCTGTAAGTCTTTTTAGATTCTGGATCGTTTCTGCTGCTAATGGAATTTCAGGTCGCAGATGAGCTGGCTGCGTCAGGGGTACCGGTCATCTTTAACGCAGTACACAGCGCCCCAACAGCGTGGGAAAAGAAGGATGTCCTAGTCGGACCGCCGCTGACACCATCTCCGGTGCGAGTTCTGGCCGATGCGAACGTGACGTTTGCACTGGCCTTGCCGTACGATAGTAAGTCGTCCTGCGCGTCGAAGAAGGATTATTACTTCTTGTATGTACTAACTTTTCCAGCCGACTGGCATCTCCACAACCTCGGCATCGAAGCTTCCTGGGCAGCCAAAGACGCGGGTCTCTCCCCACAGCACGCCGTTGATCTCGTGTCCGGCAAGATTGACGCCATTCTCGGGTTATCTGGCCGCGAGAGCAACCGCGACTACGTCATCTACGAAGGTAATCCGCTCGAGTATGGGGCCAACGTCGTGCTGGCAATCGACGGAGACGATGGGACGGTGCGGAGTTGCTGGCCGGAGGCGGACTAGTAAATAGTAAACATACGGACAGTTCTCCGTACAGAGTACAGACAGGGGTATAGCGTGCAGACAGGGGTGTACGGTGTACTGTACAATGGAGCTAGCTAGCTAGTATATTAAATAGCCCCTCCTGCACGGAGCACAGGGAATAAGATAAGAAATGGGGGCCAAACGGCCGGAGTATGGTTGCACGCACTAGTAGTATAATTATTACTCGGATAACGCAAGATACCTAGGTAGCTTATCAGATTAAGCCGATACTACGCGATCAATCGATCAATCTGTCTAAACTGTTATTGTTATTCTAGAATGGGCATTATTATTCTATTTCTCTATTCTACGGAGTAAGAATTGTAACATAATATTATATATTAATTGTTCCCTCATCCAGACAGAAAGAAGGCCTCTTTTTTGTTGGTTGGTTGGTTACTCTGGGGCCATTTATTTATGGTATGGACATGAGCAGATACATACACGATAAACCTTTTTAATTTAATTCGAGAATACAACACTGATTAACTAACTGACTGTACTGTACTGTACGTACTTGCACAGTATTACTGTTAAGGACCATGCAGTTTAAAAAAAAATAAAAAAAGGATAAAATAAATAAGAGGAAAATTGACAAGTGGTAGAACCGTAGAAGAGTCAATACTTCTAATCACTAGTCAGGATAATGAAGACAATTATTTAATATGGAGCAGTTAGAAGAAGAAGAAGAAAAGTTCATTTAAAGCGCTATAGTACAGTAAAGTACATTAGAAAAATGTGTCAAGGAATACAAAATACAAAACGAGACGTGGCAGTCCTAATGATTGTACAGTAGTATGTATAATGTATGTCGTATGTATGGGAATGGAAGCCCACCGATATATATACATCAATCAAGTCGCCATCTCCTCCGTTTCAGCTTGATACATACAGAATCAAGGGGGGAAAAAAGCACAAAAAAAGCATTTTCCAAATCAAGTCTAACAGTCAGGCTTGTTTCAAACCAAATCACGGGCATGCGTTCTTTGCGACGTCAATTCTATACTGACTGTCTTCTGAATATCGCTCCTGAGATCATTCGACTTATCGCCAAGCGCGACTTCGGCGTCTTGCCACAGTGCTGCGTCGCCGTTCAGGTTGCGGTGCGCAACACACGGCGACTCGTCGTGACAGTAGGGACATCGCGAGGGTTGGAAGACGGCAGCAGTTCGGCTCTCGCGAGTATTTCCGTATCCGTATTTGCTGCGGTCTCTCGAGGAGTGATGGCTTGAGCCGGTGATTGTGCGCTGCGTGTAGCTGCGCACGACCTTGAGGAAGCGCGGCATGACGGGGAAGCAGGTGCAGAGGATGACCGAGGCATTCTCTGCGAGCCTAGAGAGCGGAAATGTCAATTTACGCAATTCCTTCCTCCATCCATTCCTCAAATATATGTTGACATACGTCCATAAACTAATCTGCGCGATGGCATATGTGGAATCCGTATCCGTAAAGGCTCGAAATGAATAGACTACTCGACCAAGCGAAGATATTACAGCACTAAGAAAGAACATTGTGGTTAGCAGCTTCACATCAGCCTTTTTCTTTTCCCGATAGAAGGGGAACCCTACATGAGACCCATTAGGAAGATAGCTGAAATGCCCAGCTTGTTCCTCACGGCTGTGTGCAAGTGCCAAATAGCCCAGAGCGGTAGAACGAACATGCAGACATCCGAGACAAGATTTAAGATTCCAGTGGCCGCTATCTCAGCATTGCGATCGACGCAGTAGCCGGTCGTGATGTAAGGATCCCATATCTTCGCCTGAGGCATGCACTCGAACAGCACCGCGAAGAACATGGCAGAATAGAAAGCCACAGTTACCCAGAGGAGAGCCTGTGTAGCAATGTAGACAGCACCGCTTTTCGTCGGCGCAAAAGTTCGTTGCAATTGCAACAAAAGCGCAGCCTTAGCTGACCCTAGGAGCGGACAGTAAATCAATTCCAGCGCCCAGCTTTGCTGGGACAGGTCAGCCAGATACCCCAAGACAGACATGGTCCTCACGCACCTTGGCTATCTTGATCGCGTTGGTCGCCAGTACATCCCATATATGCCGGCCGATTCCGGTCTGTGCCTGCCATATGAAAAATACATTGTATGTGACATTGAGTGCCCATGCAAAAATCAAGAGATCTGTCGAAGAGTCAGCAAAGACATCCCAAGAGAGACGAGACATGTATATATCGCACAGTCATCAACAGCGTAGCTCGCGACTGACTTTCGCGCGACCAGTCGAGCAGCAGTGAAAGCTGTTGTTATGGCGATAATCAGAGACGTGGTCGTCACGATGGCATTGTACAGAGTATCTTGGGGATTGTCAAAGTTCGGAGTCACGCCTGGCGGAGGAGCTCCTGCCGGTTTGAATGTGCTCGCCATAGCTGGACGACGTCGAAGGAGAGGGAGAGAGCAAAAGTCAAATGCTCTTTGTGTAATCTGGATGATGGCTTGATTGGCGCGCACGCTGCAAGAAATCCATGTTTTCGACTGCTGTTTATCACGGGGGCTCAGAGCTTGCAGATTAGGTAGAACGGGGTCACAGAAAAAAGGGACCCCAACTTCCAAGCGCAAGCACGAGGTACAGCCAAACCAATGCTGTCATGAGACGCTGTCACGATTGTCTCTCCCCTCCTCGGCTGTTCCCCGCGATACAGTATCGGCAAGACTACTGCAGAGCATTCGAACTAAGCGAGTAGGCTGGCGGCTGCAAGCACACAGGAAGGGCCGAGAACATGAGCAGCGATCGATTTGTCAACGCAACTCCGGCGGCACGCCATACCAACACCGTCCTCTCGTGCTGGGGGGTTGATCCTTCTGAAGATTCCTGCAGGGAGGCAATTTTGCTATCGGCCATGGCGTTGGCATAGAGCGAGCAAGACCGTTGATAACGCTAGAGCATCAAAGGACAAGGGTATTGGAATTAGCAACGCTTGAATGCCCAATGCTGTGTTGTGAGTAGAGATGGATTCTGCAGGATGAGGAGTTCTCCAACAGGGGTTGGCATTGGCCAATAACGGATAGGATTCCATTATGGGAGCATTCATAACAGCATCTTGCTGCGAGGAGCAGAGAGTGGGAAATGGCGTTATCTGGCACTTAACGATAGTTCATCGACTTGGGAGCCATGCCAAACTAGATCGGGATGGGCTAAGCTGGAAGGAGCAGTCACGCCGGACTGAGCAGGCTGAGGTAGCATTTTTTAGAAGTCTTTTAGAAATATTCAGAAGCCAAACGCTAGTATACTACGGTTTCTACCGGAGCAACATCTTGGCCAGGTTGTTCGACTTTCCAAATTGGGAACTGCCATATTCGGCTAGGTGTCTTCCACATCGTGGTCTTCGAATGGAGGCATTTCTAATAATGGTGGATCGGCAATTGTGATTCTTCTCGTAGAATACCGACTGGCGATCTGGCGATCTCTGCCCTCATAAGCATCACTAGTCACAATACAAACTTTCAAGGGTAAATTACGAAGTCGAGCTCAGAATATTACAGAATCTAGTTATGGCTTGCACAAGTCAAGAAGACAGTTAAACACTTGCACCTGAAGAATTTCTACATAAAAAATGGCACATCTCCAATATCATTCGATGAGCCTAAGCCTATGAACCTCCCTCACTCCAATGCTGCAAGCCAAGCTTCCAACTGTTTCGCGTCGACGGGTCTGATATCAAGAGTATTGCCGATGACTTTTAGGAGATTCTCTTGGTGGTACCCATGAGTATCGCCTCTTTCTGACAGTAGTTCGAAGAAGCTGAGTAGCCGAAGAGCCGGCAGCTGCTGCGGATCGTGCTTGAAACTCTGACTCTTCAATACTTTTATCCATTCTTTTAGGGTTTTGGTGACGGTAGTCTTGCCACACCAACTCTGGATTGAAGGAACGACTTCCGACCAAGGCGTAGGGACGGGATTGACCAGATTGTAGTATCGAATTTCCGTTGGTGCTGTCGCAGAGCAATCTTGATGCATAATGCTCTGGATGATACTCACAACGACATCGACAGGCAACCAGTCGATATCCAACAGATCGGTAGGCACCGCCTGCAATGTCTTTGATGTTCTCAAAAGCGACGTCGAAGAGTCCGTTGCCGGCCATATGATCTTGTGGGAGCTAGACGACGCTGGCGCAATCTGGCCGATTCTCAACACGCTCGCAAGCAATCCAGATTTAGTATTGGCAGCGCGGATCAGCTGTTCAGCCACATGCTTGGACTCTGCGTACCCGGTCCGCATTGCTTCGTCTGCATCGTTCACAGCGTCTTCAGGCACCAGTTTCTTGGGAGATCCGGGCTTTCCAAAAACGCCTGTGGCAGCTATCGAAGACATGTATAGAAGACGTGGACGACGTTTAGAAGCAGCAGCAAGCTTTATGGAGTTCAGGAGACCGCTCAGGCTGTCTGTGAAAGTGGCGAGAGGAAGGACAAAATTGACCTGCCACGCGGAATGCAGAATAACGTCGCACTCATCTTTCAACTCATTGTAGACGTTCTCTTGGAGGCCAAACGCGTCTTTCGTGAAATCCACTTGTATAAAGCGTATCTTATTCTCCCACTCGCTTTGACTTTGGTTTGTGTGGGCTGCCCATCGCTCACGCGCCGTAGCGGAACGATTCAAGCAGATAATTCGACCGACGCGGGGGTCTTGTGAAAGTGCCGTAAGAAGATATTGTCCCAGGTAGCCTGTTGAGCCTATAAGGACGACGCTCAATGTTTCGCGGGCACTATCACCGGATTGAGACACAGAGCTTGTTGGCAGAGATGCCTCGTAGAGACTGAGCATGTCTCTCACTTTGGCAACCCTGTCCGTCTGTTTCGGATGTGCGCCAGTGTTTAACCACTCTAGTAAGACTGTAGAGAGCTCATTGACAGTTGGGTAATTGTAGAGAATCTCTGGTGATAGCCAGCGCAGGGGTTCGCTCGAGTGGGATTTGAGGCTCTCTCTCAATTGCTCAATCGTTTCAAGCGTCTTGACAGAATCAAGTCCCTGAATGTACAGATTCTCTGCGTCGTTGACGTCCTGACGATCAAGAACATCCTCAGCGATTGAGTGAATGAGAGTTTTCACGTCGTTCAGACGGAATGCTGTTGGCTTCAAGGCCTTCGGTTGCGATCGCGTGTGAGAGCCTTCGAACAGCGCTTTGAGCTCGGTTTCATAAGCTGCAAGAGTCAATTTACGCACAACAGTGCCCTTGGCTGCCCGGACAAAGGGCTTTTTGGCATCCGCAACCAGTATCATCGATTTCGAAACACGACCTGGACCAGAGGTGTTTGCGTTCAATTCAGCGACCCGAGGCCAAAGAGCAGCCACGGGATCCGGGCCAAGTCCATGATCTGGTTTCAGCTCGACAAGCAAGGCCACTCGTGGCTGGCCTTGACCAGCGACTAAGGCGCCAGCAACACCAGAAACAGCCTCAACACCAAGTTCCATTGGAATAGGGTTGACTTTCTCTCCGCTGGAGAGAACAATGATGTCATCACGTCTAGCATGAAACTTCCAGAGCCCCGGCTGAGTCGGATGCGGCTTGAACAAATCCTTAGTACGATACTCGCGAACACCGGGGAAGTTGTGATTCAAAGCCGAAAAGTCTTCCGTCTCTTCGTTAGCATAAATAACCATCTCATAAGCATCGTCATCGGCAGGCTGAAGTTCCTGATTTCCCAGCGGATGGAATTCCATGTATTGCCAGTGTTCTTTAGGTGGAACAAGTTGCCGAACTTGGCCTATTTCCGTAGAGCCATAGAACTGGCAAAGTTGTACATGCTTGACTAATTCGTTTCCAATGGCTTCCGGTAATGGTCCTCCTGCATAGCAGAGGACGTCAAGCCTCTTGAGCAGGTCTGGTCCATCCGGTTCGTGGTATAGTTCCGCAGCAATCGTGGGTGGCAGAAAACAGCCTCGGACGTCTAGGCTCCGGAGTATTTGTGCAGCAAGCCCTCCGCTTGGCAGACGCGTCGGAGGACCGAATACTGGGACTGTCTTCGTGAAGACAGGCAGCATGACATTATTGAAGAATCCCGCCAGGTGAAAGGGCGGAAACGGCACATACAGGTAACTGCCAGGAGGGAAATCCCACGTCGTCAAGTCATGATTGCGACGGCCGGGAATGGTCGGGAAGTTGCGGTCGTTGTCCACAACAGCAAAACTTCCGTGCGTCATCGTCACCGGTTTTGGTATTCCTGTAGATCCTGAGGAGTGCAAGATAAGGATGGGCTCCCGTCGGACTTGATCGAAGTCGAATGTATAAGGTACTGGTACCGGCCGGGCCGTGAGGAGCTCATCCAACGGTGGGAATATCAAGCAACGCAGTGAGCTGACAGCTAGTTGGATCTTCTCTGCCATTGGCGCCAGCTCTGGCGAGCATACCAGTTTCGTACATTGAGTCTGCTCAAAGAGGGAGGCATTGGTAGCAGGCGGATTGCGGGGCGAGGGAAGGAAGACCTGTTGTTGGATAGTGAGATTTGCGCCAGAGAAGACTCAGGTTTCGGTGCTGTACCTTCAGACGAAGCTTCAGAGCAGCATAAAAGAGAATGTTGTATCGCAGATCTGGCACTCCAACGTAAGCCAAAGTCTCGTGTAAAGAGAACGTGCCAAATGCAGCTTGAAGCCAGTGGACCGTATAATCCACCGCAGCTTTCATCTGTTGGAAGGTCACTTGACGAAATCCATCTTGCAAGTCGGACGATGCAGGTATCAAAGCGAAAACGCGCTGGGGGTTATGTTGCGCCTCCTCCTCAAGGACGCCAACCATCAAGCGGCGTCCATATTGCTCGGCCATATTTCGGTGGAATGAGAGCTGTTTGACAGTGGAGATGCAATATTAAAAAATCTCTTGTTAGCAGCAGAGACTGATGGAGTTCGACTCATCGAGGTTTTGAAGGACACACGAAGACAACTCACTCCTCTCCTCCAAAGGTCGATTCATGCGCTTCTGACTCGACACGACAAGGACCGCCGAAAATGCCGCAGACATCCACGCCTCAGCTATCGATAGGAATCCCCGCGCAAGAGGATTCTGGCCCGTGCTGACTCGCAGCGAGAGCGTAACCGACACCCCTGTCAGCCAACATACTGTACCAGTGTACCTTGGCAGTGCATGTGGGGTGTCTCTTGTCACCGTAATGCGACGGTAATTTGACAGTAACACGACCGGATAAACCCTTAGACGCATATCCCAGTGGTTATTTATAATATGACATTAACGTAATCCACCACCGAGCTGCGCGGACCACCGAGCTGCGCGGTCCCCGAGAAAAAAATTCAACCACCAACACAACCGTAAATCTTGAAGCATTTTGCAACCAAATTTAATGAATTTGACTATATAAAGAAGGAGACTGTTTACTAGGGCATTTAAGCCGATTATGGCCTGTTTGATTGCAATTACTGCATCTTGGTGGCCTTCGAGTCCGTGGTCTAGATGATTCCTGTAGTTGCTCCTCATGCTCTTGAGCTTTTTGCTGTCCTTCAGCACCTGTCAAGCTACCACCAGTTGCTATAAAGTATCTTGATGCCTCTCGCTTCCTTTTAGACGCTGATTTGCTGCACGAAGTTGATTAACTTCTTGCTGCAATAGGATA